GCTGTAAAGAGTAAGATGCTGTAAAGAGTTGGACTGCTGTAAGGAGTTGGACTGCTGTAAAGAGTTAGACTGCTGTAAAGAGTTGGACTGCTGTAAAGAGTTGGACTGCTGTAAAGAGTTGGACTGCTGTAAAGAGTTGGACTGCTGTAAAGAGTTGGACTGCTGTAAAGAGTTGGACTGCTGTAAGGAGTTGGACTGCTGTAAAGAGTTGGACTGCTGTAAAGAGTTGGACTGCTGTAAAGAGTTGGACTGCTGTAAAGAGTTGGACTGCTGTAAAGAGTTGCTGCAAAAAATAAGATTAAAGAATGAAGTTATATTGATGTAAGAAGTTACACTGTTATAAATAACTTTTTTTTTTTTTAAATAAACATCATCATCAAAATCCTACATGTGCCATTAGATGTCACATAGAGCTCGCATTCTATTCCTCCACTCTTCTCAGTCGCATGTATCTCTCTCGATTTCTGACATGGAGTTAACCCCAGCGTTTTTAGCCTCTCGTAATAATGTTGTTCTTAATGTTTTCCTTGGATGTCCTCTTTTTCTTAGACCGCTTGTTTCCTAGTTCAGAGCCTGCTTTGTAATTCTTTGCTCATTTCACCTCAGAGTGTGCGCAATATATCTCCACCTTCTTTGTCTTCTTGCAGTCAATACAGGTATTTGTCCAGACATTTCTCTGACCTCCTGATTCAATTTGAATTCATCCGATTTTATGCTCATTATTTTTCTCAGATATTTATTTTCAAATATATTTCTTTTGTTCAATATCTTTGGTGGTTATCCAACTTTTGCCGGCATATGTTACAATTGAAATAATGTTACAAATGAAGATTCCTAGTTTGGTCTTAAAGCTGTATAACACAGAGCTCCATATTTTGTTAAGGCTTTGAAAGACTTGTTGCTTTGCAAATGCGTATCATAATTTCCTTTATTGTATCTTCTTGTGAGTGAAAATTGCCACTTCACTGGGTGAAATGGTTTGTTACCTTAGTAGGTTTATTCTCTAGCATGACATCTACATGATCTGTTATTGGTATCTATATTTGTTTTCTCATAATTTATTAGTATTCCTATTTTTGATGCTGTAGGCGACATATCGTCTGTTATTCTATTGCATGTCTTTGTTATTTTCAGTTAACAGAACAATGTCATCTGCAAAATGCATATCTTCCAGTTGTCTATTCTCTACCCAATCAATGCCAGTATTGGGTTGGCAACATTTTTATATTTCTATAAGAAATACTGTTGTAAAAAGTAAGACTGCTGTAAAAACTTAAATCGCTGAGGAAATAAGACTACTGCATGAAGTGATACTGCTGTAAAAAGTTTAACTGCTATAAAAATAGACTACTGCATGAAGTAATACTGCTGTAAGAGGTTAAATGATTGTTAAGAAATAGGAATACTGCATGAAGTTACTGCTCTAAGAAGTTATACAGCTTGCAAAACTGATGACTTTTGTAAGACATAAGACTGCAGTGAGAAGTTACATGACTTTAAGAAATAAGATATTGCAGTAAGAAATTAGACTGTAAGAAATGAGATCGCTATAGGATGTAAACAGTTATAAAAGTAAGAAAACTCTAATATAAAGTTGCTCAGAAAGCAAGCCTCAATGAACACAGCAAGAAAATCTTGGTAGGTACAACTCACAAATTTTACCCTATCTCGTTCGGGCACAAGTTTTCTTGGTCATTCCCATGGAGTGTCTTATGTTCCAAGGGGGTGTCAAGTCTTGCTTGTTTTGAACGTTTTAGCACATCCACCACTGACGACAGCCACTGCCAACGAGCATACTATACAAAAACATCAATGATTCAATACACATGAACTGTCTCGCCTTCGGCACTTTCCCCTGCAGTACTTCTTCCTTTTACACAGCGCCTGTGATGCTTGAGCTGCTCACAACAACAACACATTTGAGAAACGACAGTCATTCACAGAAAAGACGGTTGCGACAGTATGTCGACCGCTCCGAGCGATATGGGGTGACCTTCGACATTAGTACCCCTTTGTACTCTTGTTAACTGCAGCTATGAGATCCCAACATATGCCTATGGCTTCCTTTCTTTTAAATCAATCTTGTACAAGTATGTTATTTAATAAGTATCTTAACTTATCCAGACAAAAAATTCAAAGTATATGGATATTATGTACAATTATTGCCATTTTAAACATGTGTCTAAAGCAAAGCAATGACATGTGAATTGAAAAAAAAATAATTTAAAGCTGTATAACAGTGCAAACATTAACCAGCAAATATATTGATCATAATCTTAAACCAAACTTTAAAAGTTGAAGAATACAAACTTTAAAAGAGAACACAATTCCTTAAAGTGGATGAAGTGAAGTTACAACAATCAGAAGATAGTAACAAGAATAGTGTGCCCAGTATGTTCATTCTATCTATCTCACAGTCTACCATGGGTGACTGGCTAATCTTCATGAGCCAGTCAACATTTCTTACGTGGATATGCTTCTTGATTTTAGTCAGCATACTATCATCATCATGTAGCAGAACGTCGCTCTCATCGCAGCCTGCCCGAAAGAAACTCAGTCTCTTGCCTCATGCACTTTCATATTCAAGGAATCACTTATATCCTGTGCCCATCTTTGTGCTAGTCGGCCTCTGCCCCTCCCTCCTAGTACCATGCCTTCTGCTATTATTTTTCTGTTAAATTACATAAAGAAAAGCACGAGAATCATCAGTCAGAGCTGCTTAGCGACTGGGAGCAAAACTACTAGTTTATGAACTCTGACATAAACTGATTGGAGAAGAAAAATAATTTGAGTCCACAGGAAATCATATTCTGTCGTAAGCAGGGAGCAAATATTTTCTCACATTATAATACAAAAGAGAATTATTTGAAGAATAATATACCAGTTTCAGATTAAAGTTACTAAATTCAACACTAAGTGATTTCCGTTTAGTAGAATATAAAGCATTGTTTAAATTTAGTCAATCATAAGATAAATTTTTTACAATGTAAGAAGTGATTTCAAGTCAGTACAGTTAAAAATGATACAATTTTTGAAAAGAAAAAACATTAGAAAGGTAAAACAAACTAAGTAATATATGACATTTAAAACTGAGCAAACATCAAAAACAAAATTCTGTGCCATGTGAACAATAAAGGCTGGCTACAGTCTACCACTGTTGTCTTTGGGAAATATCTGATGAGGGCCCAGTCTCATCCAGGATGTGACTCTCGCACTACTGTCCAAAAACTACAATAACGGGTTATGTTTTAAACCCACACCGCAGGCAATGTTCCCTAGTACTCGAAAATTATAAAATTATTAAAAGCTTTTGCTAATTTCTAAGCCACTAAGAGTAAGAGCACAGAGTAAACATTATTGCTACGTAATTCTAAATGTGCAGGTCAATATTTGCTTTCTAGTCAATTGCTTTTTAAAAAAAACAAAATATGCTAGTTTTTTGCTTTTTTTTAAATTAAGGATTTATCTGAGAAGGCCAGATATCCACTCCACTCCCTAGGATCATGGGGCATGTACTGCCATCATTTTTCTTATTTCGTAAATAAATCAACTCTGCATAGATTAGATGTAATCTGCTTTAGTTAAAAGCAGATGCCATACATCCACTCCATTCCCTAACCACATATGACATTAAAAATTAAGTGACATAAATATACAACTAAGAGTGAATACTGTAACAAATTACACTGTTGTAATCAACATGTTAAAAGACAAAATTGTAACAGGTTGCCAGATATTTTCTTGACTGCATTGTTATGTATTGTCAGACTAAGTGCCATCTTCATATCTAAGGCATGAATGATCTTCAATATTCTCTGTCTCCTCCCTTACTGAAGAGCTAGATTATGTCTCCAGACAATGGGAAATAATTGGAAATGAAAATTATATAAATTGAGCAATGTCACATTTAAATACAAATTTTCTCACAATAATCGAAATTTCATTGTATTTTTATGTAACAGTGAAATGATAAAGCAACATCATGAATAACAAATTCAACAATTATAGTCGTTATTTTAAAAAAAAGTTATAACATCTTTTTTCTGCTTCTACTCTACCAAAAGAGATTACACTCTTAACAACTCATGCTCTTTGAAAACGTATTCATGACTGGCTAGATTTTGCAGCCCAAGTTTTCTATGGGATGAAGTAACCAGCTTTATATAAAGCCTCCTTGACATGCATTCAAATAAGCCAGATCTGTAAATGAATCTGCACACAAAACTCAAGTTCCGGATCAAGACCAAAGTCCAGAAGTGGATAAACAAGCAGAACTTTCCACTGACATTTACAGCCATGAACTAAGAAGAAGAAGATATACTACAATCTTCTTCTTCTTCTTCTTCTCTTCCACCTTGTACCTCATCGAAGTGTCGGGGGATACTACAATCTGCAGTGTGTAAGTCAAGTTTTCCGTAAGGGGTCTATATGAACCAGCTAGGGGTCAGCATATGATGGATATAAAATGCCTCTACTAACATTCATTGTTCACTGCAATTTACGGTAGCCTTGTGTGTCCTAATAGTATGATGGTATGACAGGATCAGTAATGTTGAGCTCTGGGAGAGAGCTAAGTTCCAGTGGACCATGAGGTGAAGATAGGACGCTGCCGTTGGATACGACACACATTGAGAAAACCTGAGAACAATATAACTAGAATGTCTTTGCACTGAAACCCACAGAGGCATAGAAATAAAGGCAGACCCAAAAAAGCACGGAGAAGGGAGCTAGAGAGAGGTTAAAAAGATGGGGAGAGCTGCTTGCAATGGCGAAGGATAGAACGACTTAGCATGAGTTAGTTGAGGGCCTGTGCTCTTTTGGAGGATAGAAGGCAGAAGAAGAAGTGTGTCATACTATTTCTATTTCTGTGAATTGAGTCAATATCTGTGAAGATATTTGTTAAGTGTGTATGGTTCAATTGTGCACAACTATTATTATAATTATCACAGGGAATATAATGTGATGTTAGTAACACTGCATTTATAAAACATAACAATGTGTTACATCGCAGACAGACAGCCAAGTCTTATATCTTCATATGTTGTATATGGTGACACACCCAGTCCACATACTTTGAGTAGTCCATGGTGTATTCTGCAAATAATAAAATGATTTTACAGTTAGTTATTGCTTAGCAAAGCCAGAAAGATATACTTTTTATTATGTGAATAATCTAGAATCAACAAGAATTCTTAATACATAAAATAATGAGTAATGTTGAGTTAAGAACACATATTCCAGCACTTAGGGCATTCACACATGCACTCCGTCCTCATCTTCAGAGCCAGCAAAGAGTTCCAGTTCTAATGGTACCAGCAGAAAGTAATGCATTTATGAACAGCAAGTATATAATGTACATACATAGTCTCTATTGAAGCCCCAAAATGAACCCACATAAATGAAGTAACATTTGCAAGGGAAAATGTGATCTTTTGGATGCATAAGCTTGAATGCATGTTACCCTTGTCCATAGGAGAAGCAAAGAATAGTAACTGAAATCTTCCATGAAGTCATTAGAGGCAGCTAGGCAGGGTTTGCATGAAACTGGCTACGTTAGAAAATGTTTAACTGCACAATCAGACCAATTATGAACAAGTCTAAAAAGGGCCAATCATGAGTAGGTTGAGGGTCTATTTTCCATTTGGAGATGAAAGACATAGATGTGCATTTCCTGCTATCCAATGAGGTTTTACAAAATTGCTAAGCAAATTTTACTTCCCCTCACACTGATGTCAAACAGTAATGAGCAGGACGTGAGGATATTTAGGTGAGCCCAGTACCAGAGCAGCTTGTACCAGCTCTGCCTTTACTGAAGCCTCCTTGCGTGGCGGGAAATGGTCATGTTCTGCTCCTGCCTTCTCTTGAGGCCTGACCAGCATATGTGCCTGCTCTGGACAAGCCTGATTGGTGGAGGGGGCGCACACCTGTGGACTAGGGAGCAGAGATGACAACACAACAGTGAGGCTGGCAAAATCCCAAAAAACTCACCAGGAAGGCTAAGCCGGGAAACAAATGTTTGAAGATGTCAGACCTGTTAGCTGAAATGCACAAATGTCACAGCCATGCTGTAAACAAGCACAATGCAATTACGTCCTCAGAGATGAACGCAGGGGAAGAAGAAGGAGACATCCTACAAACATATATTTAGCTCGCTTTTCAGCATCAAAATCAACACTAGTAAAAACTTATTTACAGAGTGAGCTTTTGACTTGAACTATTGACCTCTCCAAAGTCCATACTGCAATACTCAGCAGTCATGACATACTACAGTGAGAATCTAACATGATTTTATCAGGGCTTTTTTCTAGAAAGGTGCCGGTACTCACCACAGAGTGTATATTACAGAAAAATGGAAACAAAAATAATGCCTTTAAAAAAATATAAAAACCTGCCATTACTGTGTACCAATATGTACCACCAGAACTAAAGCCTGGCTTTTACAATGTGGTCCTTCCTGAGCCTTGGTCAGACAGGTCTCACAGCAGGACACTGTCCAGATGTGGCAGATCTAGACAGAATGCTTCTAGCCAAGAGAAATATGTGAGGACAGAATTTGTACAGTAGAACCTCGCTTAACGAGCACCTCGCATAACGAGTAATTCGCATAACGAGCAAAACAAATAGTAAAAAATTGACTTGATTAACGAGCAACGTTTCGCATAACGAGTGGCGAGGAGAGAGGAAGTCCCGAATTGTGCGCATGCTATATCAGTCTGTGTTTAGCACTCGTTCTAGTAGCATCGTAGTGTTGCTTGTGATCACACATTTTCCCAAACTTGTGCTATATTGTAATATATGCACACGAATCCTCCAGGCCTGCAAGATGACCTCTCTGAAGAATTTAAGTTTATCAAGATCCAGTTTCTGCCTCCCAACACCACTCTGTTTCTCCAGCCCATGGACCAGCATGTTTCTAACTTTAAGAAGCTCTACACTAAAGCACTCTTCGAGCATTGTTTTCAGGTGACTGAAGGGACCAACCTCACTCTCAAAGAGTTTTGGAAAAATCACTTCCACATCGTTGCCTGCCTCAAGATGATCGATAAGGCGGGGGAAGGGGTTACCTGGAGAACCATAACTTCTGCTTGGAAGAAGCTTTGACCGGAGATCGTTGTCGATTTGTGACTGAGGGGTTTGAGACAGTACCTGTGGAACCTGTAGTCAACGAGATTGTGTCTTTGGCCACTATCTTGGGATTGTAGGTGGATAACAGTGATATCGAAGAGCTTGTGGAAGAGCACAGCCAAGAGCAGACCACCGAAGAGCTTATCGAGTTGCATTTTGTTTCATAGTAAGAAGTTTTGGAGAAAAGTTTGTCAGAGGAGGAGGAGGAGGTAACAGAATAGCAACAATCTTCTTCTGGCGAAATAAGAGAAGTGCTGAAAGCAAGGCAAACTATTGAATCTTACATTGAGAAGCATCACCCTAATAAAAAAGTGGCTAGGCGCATTGCACATTTATTTAATGATAATGATGTGTCACATTTTCGCTAAATTTTGAAGCGTCGGCAAAAACAAATGTCGCTGGGCATCTTTCTAATAAAAAAAAAAATAATTAGCTATGTATCATAATTATTTTGACTTTTTTTCTGCAAATCGAATTCTCATTCCAGGTGGGTAGGTTCAGTGTTTGAAGAAAAGATGAAGATGATTCACTCTCCTTAAAAATATGTATTTAATTTTCTTTGAATAAACATTATACTTAGCATTCTGTGAGTATTTTTTTCGACATGGAACGCATTATCATATTTTACATTAATTTATATGAGAAAAATTGTTTCGCATAACGAGTGTTTCGCTTAACGAGTGTGATTCTGGAACGAATTATGCTCGTTAAGCAAGGTTCCACTGTATTTATATTCAGTTCCTGTCATATCTTAGGAAAAGAAGTTTGTGGTTTAGTAGTCAAGCTGCTTGCTCATGCTCTCAAGGTCATGAGTTTTTTTTAATTTTTTTTTTAAAATATAGTGTTGTTCAGGTCAAAAGTGCAATTTTGTTTTTGCTAGATCTATCTTCTTCTTAGCGTTCACCTTCTGGAAACTTCAGCTGAAACAGCTGGTTGTTTTTCCCACTTCTGGACTTTGGTCTAGTTCCAGAACTTTAGTGTTGCGTGCACATCCATTTTACAAATGTGGCTTATTTTTTATGCATACTGGTGGTTCCTCGCCTCTCAAGCAGATGCAGTCCAAACTTAAAAGGAAACACCCCTAATTAGTTGAATTTTACACCAGGCTTATTAGGAAAAGGGTGGGGGGGGGGGGAAGGAAGTGAGTCTATTCGTCTATTCTTTTCCCCCACATCTGGGCCCCGGAAGACAAAACGGGGAGCTCAGTGCTGTGAATGTTATGCCTTCTGCAACACTCTCTGTAGATGGCTGGCCACTTTGCCATCAGAAACAGCCCTATGAGAGAGAAAAAATTGGTGCAATAAAACACCTCCCACCTTTAATAGCACAGTTATTGTATCTTTTTGGAAACAATAACAATCAAATACAGAGGTTTTCATAATGAACAGAGAAATGTCAACAAAACAATAAACAAGAGATGTGAAGTGTTTGAGCCACATAAAAAGATATACAACTCCCATAAAAACCATACTGGAAAGAAATTCTTAAGAATGGTCACCAAAACATAGACAGACATACAAACAGTATCAATTATCCTTTGGCTGTGCACCAAATTTGTGTGATTTACTTGCTGCAGGTCAACTCAGCCAAAACATTTAAACCAAGAAATGTTGTGGCACGTAAAAGCAGCCAGTGTGACACTGACTACATAGCTTATAAGTGACGATTCACCTATAAAAATAGGCACATGCACATTTACTGTTACAGACATTGGCACTCATATTGGAGATGCATTAACTAGATAAAGCTGCACATTGTCATGGCCACTGGTTACACAATAATGGCAGGTAAATGACATTAGATCTGTGCATCTGTACAATAACAGCTCATAAGCCGGACTGCACTTGCTTGCAAAGCAGACCAAGCAGTGCTGCTGTGAATGCATAACACAAAATAACCAATACTCCTGAAGGATCTTTTATTTTTTTTATTTTATATTTTTATTTTTACTCCAAACTTATCTAAATTTAAAGAAAACTTAAGAAGAGTGAAGAAATAAGATAAATGTCTGGGTATCCATTAGTATCGACAGTTTTAAGACAGAATATAGCGCTATACTGGACACATTTTGAGATGAGACGAACAGAGAATCACTGAAAAAGGCACTGAAACTGGAAAAAGAGGGACTTCGGAAATGAGGATGTCTGAGAGAAACCCTAAGGCAAACGTTGATAAGAGAAGCCAAAGGTGCTGGACCAGATTTCATTCATGATATCAAAGAAATTGCAACAGGATAGAACGGAATAAAGAAACAGACTGCGAGCCCTATGTGACATATAATGGCATAAAAGGATAATGAATGAATAAATAAGATTGTATACACACTTGAAGTCTAACGCCAGTGTGCGGACTATCTGATTATCAACATTCCAGACAGCAACCATTTTAGCTTCTTCCTTCGCTTTCTGCTTCTCCTCCTTCTGTCTTGCATGTTTTCTGTACTTCTCCATCTCGATTTCGTGGAAAGTTTTACGATACTGTGGCCCAACCAACTGTGGTTTCACGGCTTTTAACTGTGAAAATAAAATATTAATGTGATGTACTTTAAAGTATGTACAGAACAGCAGAAATATATCAGCCATTATATCCTACAAAAAAGCAAAAGGTTTTCTTATAAAGTAACATGGTTCTGGCTATAAGAAGAGGGAAGAAGAACTGCAAATGATAATCTTGTGAAAAGTCAGACAGAAATATCAGATGAAGCAAAAGTGGACAAAGGTACCAGAATGATCATCTGTATGACTCTGAGTACTTCTTCTTCTTCTCCTCTTCCACCTTATACCTCTGTGAAGTGTCAGGGAAGGTGGGGGAGGGGGAATGTAATGTTCATTGATGAGCTCTGTCAAGAGCACTATTCTTCTTCTTCTTCTTTCGTTCGCACGAAATAAATTATCTATATCTGCAATGCTGTCTCTAGTTTGAATTTCACTGTCTTTTGTAATTCCCTAAGCAGCCCGTAAAGTTTGACTTCTACAAGTGTCTGTTTTGGCCAGAAGTTTTGCCTGGAAGCTTGAATCTGGAACAGTCTTGGAGGATGTGATCTGTTGTCTCAGGTGCCAGTCAACAGGTACACATGGCTGGTTGGCCAATCTTAAATTTCTTGTACATGTGGCAGCAAAGTCGATTGTGCCCTGTTCTAAGGCGAAGGATAATGAGTTACTCTGGTCTGTCCATAATATGGTAATTGTCTTGTGCCAGTTTCGGTGGCATTCTGATTGATTTGATCATTCTCTTCTTCTGTTGATAAGAGACTGGTTTGTCGGGTTGTTCTTCAGTTGCACCTTCCTTAGCTAGTTTATCAGCTCTTTCGTTTCCGTGAACTCCACAGTGGGAAGGTATCCACTGCATTACTAAATTACAACGGTTGCCTAGTTCCGATAATAGTGTCTGTATGCTTGGTAATTTTCCTGACTGGAGTGACTGAAGTAATGCTTTTGCATCTGTCAGGAATATCACTGGTTGGGAAAAATACCCTGTATTTAGTAGTTTCTCTACCGCTATCTTGATGGCTTGAACTTCTGCATCATAGTTGTGACAGTGTTTTCCTGTTGGTATTTTGGCTGTATCCCTGATATTATTAGGATACTCAATGTACACTCCTGCACCTCCGTTTCTGACTGCACTTTCTGCTGACCCATCTGTGTAAACGCAGACCCAAAGATTCTGGGGGTATTCATCATCAAGTAGACTGAGGGTGGCTGTTTTGCGCTGCACACTGTTTTGTTCTTCCTTGTCAAATACTCCTTTCACTTCTGTCTTGATGTGTATTGGAAACTTATACTCCTCTCTCCAGGGGTCCGTTCTGGGACAGTATTTGAGAATCTATCAGCTGCAGGCAAATCAGTTGTTTGTCTGCAGAGCCGTTTGGCCTTGTGGATGAAACTACTTCTCTTTAGTCGTCCCAAAGCTAGATTTTGGAATCTTTCATTCATAGGGTGACTGGGCATACTAAGAAACTTTTCTGCTTGTAAAAGCATCTTAATGTCTCTGCTTTCACTCAGTGCTTAGGTCATCCCCATTTTCTCCATCACAGCTATAGGTGTTGATTTCATACTGCCTGTGGTAACAAGAGCACCATTAAGATTGAAGTTCATTTCTGTAAGGCTGTTCTTTATGCCATCACTCCATCTTTTCTGAGGTCTTCCCCTCGCTCTGTACCCATTGTAACCTTTCAGTGTGGCTCGCTGTGGTAGATAGTACCAGGGCATTCTTGTTAGGTGTCCAAACCACTTCATTTGTTGTTCTTTGATGACCTGTAAGACTGGTTTTATTCCAACTTTCGTCTGATTTTATGAGTTTGTATTCCGTCTTTCCTTGAAACTCCTGCAGCTCTTCTAAGGCATTTCATCTCTGTTGTCATAATTTTACGTTCAATAGAGGATGTAAGTGTCCACGTTTGGCACTGATAGCATAGTGTTGGCCAAAAAATAGTTCTGATAAGATTCACTTTAATACTCCGGGGTATCTGCTTGTGTGTCAATAGGGAGGATAGTTGCCCCAGTACAACATGCTTTAACCCGAGAAGCAACAAAAACGACACTTCCAGTTTGGTCCAATCCCCGAGAGAGTCACTTCACCGGCTTAGCTATAGTGGCCTGTTCATGAGATGCCTAGCTAACAGTACTGTTATCGCTTGTGCAGGTGCACACGTTTAGGAGGACCAGGATTACTACAGTTACTTTAAAAAAATAGCATTTAGAAGAGTTTTCTTGTGACAAAAATTGCTTTATTAACAGAAACGATGATGTTGTACTCTTCCCATTCGTCACAGTGTTAAACTGTGACATGGTCACAAAGTAAAAAATGAGTCACTGTAACCATCTATGTTTAAACTCACACAGCTGTGACTCAGTTAATTCTCTGCTGCATTTGTGTTTGCTGGTAACTCCCTGTATTATGTATGGATTTCATATTTTTTTGATCCATAAATGGAACTGTTATGATTATTTGCACATGCCCTGTGTAAAATGTTTTTTTTTTTTTTAAAGAACTTGTTTGAGAAACTCCTTAATTACGGGTCATTTCTGTTGTTGTTGTGTGTTTTTTTTTTTTACTGGGTTTCTGTAGCCAATAGCCACATAATCAATATTAGAAAACTATTTCGGTTTCAAGCAAAGTATGATATATGATTGGCTCTTTTGTGCTTTTATCAAACATCCCATCATGCACCATCTTACTTTTTATATGCTAAAAAACCTGGCTATTCAGTGGCAACTTCAAACATATGAAAGTTAGCAATAATACTAAGGGGCAGGTCTTGTTTTAAAGGGATAATCAAAGCACAGTGAAAACCTTCTGTGAATAAAAGATTATAAGAACACAATATTTTTCACAGCCTATGCCAAAGGTTAAAGTGGGGGAAAAAAGTAAAGTATAGGACCCTTTTCCAGGCCTTCATGCAAATTGGGCATATAGGGCTAGACTCATACTGTATATACCAATCACAACTCAGAGGGTAATGTGGTCAACATCACGCCAACTACCATTACTTCTCAAGCCTTTTACCTGGTACCCATTTAAGGCTGGGTTTACCTGGCAGCCCAGGTTCTTTTCTGAATGCCAAAGGTGGAAAATAATTACTGTTAGAAATCTTGAGTGTATAAATTACAAACAGGCTAAATACTAGGGAAATGGCCACTGCAGAAGCCAGATTTTTTAAATATCTCTGACTAAACGTAAAAATTAACAAATTAAGCAATGAGTGAGATTCATGATGATGTCTCTATTACACACTGAGCATTACTTGAGACTAAGATAATTATTATTTTATATCAAAGTTTACAAACGAAAATTATTCTTACCTCTCCATCATTTTCATTGTCTTCTTTTTCATAACTTTCTCCATCATCTGATATATCAATAATGTCAACACTTTTGGACCTCTGAAAGTTTTTGTTATGCCCCAAGTCACTAATAATTTCAACTGATTTTTGGTGCTGAGTTTTTGATTCCTCTCGCTCCATCTGTAAAGGCATAATTGCAAATTAGCTGATCTGTCTCTTCATGTGGCAGTTTCCTCAACAGAATGCACACTTCAAAAGAAAGGAAGTAAAATTGTAAACGTGGTCAAGTTAGTTGATTGTTCTAAAGTAGGTGAGCAAACATTGCTTACTGCATATCAGCAGCAGAAAATGTAACACAATAGTAAAATATATATATATATATATGGGAACACCATTGTCTGAAAATGGAACATACCTTAATAACTTTATAGCTGTCAGCGAGACAATAAAACTAGCAATTAGTGATTCTAAGAGTCACATCCTGTATGTGAATCTTAAAGGATAAACCCCAGACACTCCAAAAAGCCACCTAAGAAGTAAATGTTATGGTATACCCTACGTCCTAGATAAGTAGGAAGTCTCTTTTCATTCCAAGTCTCTCCAAAACCTCTGGATTTAATTATTGTTGTTTATATGAAATACAACCTATCCTTCTGTAAATCCCCAATTCATAACGTTCATAGTATATTGACGTATCTGACGAGTACTGATTCTACTTAACAGTATGTTTACCTGGTATCTGATCTCATTGAATTCATGATTGTTGTAGTTCCAGCCTAATAGGAACCGTGGACGGAAACGAACTTCTGTGACTTTATGAATTTCAATGAAAGGGAAGTCGAACTGAAACATAAATATGTATAACGATACATTTTTAATATTAATGTATTAGATATCAATCAAACTTGAAATTTTTTAAGTGTTTTATAATTTCAGCGTAATAAATCATCATCAACATCCTCTTATGCTGTTATATGTCACACATGAGCTTGCAAACTGTTCTTCCATTTTGTTCTGTTGTGCAATTCTTTCAGTATTATGGATAGAATCCAGACCAGCACCTTTGGCCTATCTCCTCAACGTTCATCTAAGTTTTTTTTGGGACGTCCTTGTTTCCTCAATCCATTTGTTTCCTATTCAAGTGTCTGTTTGGTTATTCTCTGTTTGCTTCTCCTGAGGTTGTGCCTGATATATCACTTCTTCTTCTTAAAACTGCTGATACCAGTGGTTGTCCACATTTGGGGATTGGTTCCAGATGCTTGAGGAGCTCCCAGCTTCAGACAGCTATGGTGAAACTATATTTTTATTTTCATTTGTCTTTCTTCTTCTTCTTCATGTTAAACTCTGGCAAAAAGTTCTCATTGTTCTTTCACTTCTGAACTTTGATCTTATTCCAGAACTTGAGTTTTGGGTGCAAATTTGTTTTACAGATGTGACTTATTCATATGCAAACTGTTGGTTCCTTGCATCTCAGATGCACTCGCCTTGTACAACTTGCTTGTTAGGGGTCAGGGGGTCTATTCTATTTTCCCTCTGAATGGGGCACCAGAACCCAAACAGGGAATTTGTCATTCAACAAATTATTATTGCTAATAATATACTGAACTTTGGGAGGTGGGGGGGGGGGGGGGGGTCAAAGAATCTGAGCCCCCAGGTTATATCGCTTATGCATAGAGCTCCTAGTCTGTTTTTCCATTCAGTTATTTTCTGTGCAATTGCTATTCAGTTGTCACCCTCATCATAATACCTGTTTGCTGCCAGAGCTCGTAGCAGAAGCAAACAATAGTGATTCTGTAAACTACCATGTATGTCAGAAGACTGATTACCACATCCTGCAGAAAACATGAGCTGCAATATCAAGCCAATTATGAGCAAATCTAAAAAGTTCCCGGCATTAAATAGTTGAGGATTTAAACTCCACTGGGAGATGAGAAACAGAAGAACAAGTCTCATTATATGTATGCTATTAAAATACCTTCTTCTTCAGCTAAAAACTCTGACAGAAAATTCTGGTTCTTCGTCCACTTCTGGATTTTAGTTTTGTTCTGGTACTTGAGTTTTGCCTACACAGCCATTTTACAGATCTGGCTTATTTATATGCAGACTGTTGTTTTCCCACATCTCATACACAAGCATTCTGACTTTGATGGAAATACTCCTAATTGGTTGACTTTTACGACTTGCTTAAGGGCAGTAGACCTATTCTTTTTCATCCAAAATGAGATCCCAGAACGCATATGGGCGATTAAATTACCTGATTTTTCGAGTTTCCATGTCTGCGCAGGTGCCGAACAAACTCTTTTTTCTCGACATCTCTCACCAAAACCAAGTCAATAACACCGTCATTGAGATGAGTGAACTTGCTCAGTCCTTGTGGTGCCAGGTCACACAAGCCAGGTAAGACGAACAAACCCACGTTCATATACTTTCCCTTTAAAGTTTGCCAGGGGCTGTCTTGATGCAGATCTACAATGAAATTGTTTGAAATTGTGATCACATCTACAGTACTTACCAATACCTTCAGCAGAAACAGAAGCTTATAATGTTGTTCAGGAGTGACCAAAAGAGTTAAACAGGAATGAGGTCATAAGAGAAAAAGTCAGCACAGAACCAAATATAAATTACATACAAAGACAGAAAATCAAATGATTTGCCCACTTGGAATGCCTTGTGACATCATACGATATAAGGCTTGAACCAAAAGAGGAAAAAGACGGAGAGTGTGAGGTAGACCAAGAACACAATGGAAAGATTTCATCAGAGGAGCTTTACCACAGCACAGTGTGGCTGTGGCCAAGGCAGCCAGAAGAGCAAGAAGCAGAAGATTATATGTCCCTCAGCACCCACAGCAGTAAATGAGAAAGTGAATACAGAAATAAAGAAAAAAATCTAAATAACAATGAAATGCTGATTCTACACTAACCAAATATTCTAGGAATTAAAAGTGGCGGGTGTGATACTAAGTACCTTATGCATTCAGTGCCAACTGTTCTATACAAATATGGACACAGTTTATCAACTATGCCTCAAAAGGTGAGGGGGGGGGGGGGGGGGGAATATATATTTATATGTCATTTATATTTCAACAAATAATTCCTGATGGAGCCTGACTTTTTTTTCTAAAATGACCTTGACCCCCAGGTTGACCCAGCCTTGAGTGGGTACCAGGTGCAGTCCTGGGAAGTAAAGGTGGCCAGAATGATACTGACCACATCACCTACCAAGTGCCGATTGGTCTATAAAAGTATAGGTCTATCCTATATTCCCAATAAGCCTAGAGGCGTGTAAAAGGGACCTTTACTTTACTAACAACAAAAAGTATTTCACTGTTCACTCTAATCTTTTCTACTTCTGCCACCATCCTGTAATTCTGTATCATAGAGAAATACAGAACCACCTTCAATGCTTTCAGGCACATTGGGCATAGTCTTGTATCTTTTTACAGGTTCCAAGGGTCAGGTAGTCAATATCATGCTGACCATCTCGACTATCTACAGCATTTCTTCGTGCCCATTTAAAGCTTGGTCAGCCTCTGAGCCCAGGTCAGTTTTTTAAATATTATACTGACCTTAATGTGGATCAGACTGTGTGACCACTGGGTTGGCATGCTAACATGCTAGCTACTGAACTACTGAGACTTCATATGCACAGACATGAGCATAAATGCACGCACACATATGAGCATAAATGAACGCACACATACACAAACATACATTAAATTAAATGGATGAACATGACAATGGATGAATTCAAGAGATGCGAAGAAATAAGAGAAATGTGTAGACAACTGCCTGATTGGACAGTTAAAAGACAAAGAAGATAATTACATCCTCTAAGAAAATGAATAAAGAATCACTGAACAGGCACTTCAATGACAAACAAATGGAGTGAGAAAATAAGGATGTCCAAAAGAAATCCATAGATGAATGGTGGTAGGAAAGGCTGTGGGTGCAGGAATGGGTTTCATCCATGTTAATGAATTTACATAAATAATCAGAGGGGAAACACTTGAGGACACAAAAAGCACTATAAGGACACTCTGAGGAATGCTTTCAATTCTTTTGGTATCAACACAGCAGCATGGGAGGCCGCTGCACAAGACCGTCATGGATGGTGTACGTCACTCCAACATGGTGCATTGGCCTGCCAGGCAGCGGAAGTTGCACAGACAGAGAAACGGAGGCAGACTAGAAAGAATCGTACTGCTAATCCCACACTTACTGCGGTTTCCATCTGTTGTCCGCAATGCTCAAGAACTTTCCTGGCTCAAATTGGACTAATCAGTCACCTCCGTACTCATAATCATTGATCATTACTACTTTGGATGAAAGTGATCTTCATCACTCGTGTTGGACGAAGAACATTTATATATATATATATATATATATATATATATATATATATATATATATATATATATATATATATATATATATATATATATGTATATAAACAGCCTGTATTATTAATCAGCACTCATAGAACGAAGAAGAAACAAAGGATACACAAGACAACATAAAAATCTAAAGCTATAGTTACCGTGCCAGAACTGAACCTGTCACCTCCAAATGGCGTGTGCGCCTCGCTAAGGAAACAAGTGTACTAAGAAAATTATTGTTATATTGTTAAAGAAACAATTTTCCTTTGAGGTTGGAGTGCATCTGCCAGATCTGTAAACTTGATGTACATGCAAAACTCAATTTCTGGAACAAAAATAAATTCGAGAAGCGGATGAAGAAACAGCATTTTCTGCTGGAGTTTATAGCAAGTAAGTGCTAAGAAGAAGAAGAGGATTGAAACAACTGTACAAGATAAAAGAAAACAGAAGAATAAACTGTGAGCCCTATGCGACATACATTGGCGTGACATAAAACGGTGTGACAAATAATGGAACAACAGGATGATGAAAATAATGATAATGATGATGATGATGATGAGAGAGAGATACAGAAAAAGACAGAGACACACACACCCACACACACACCCACACACACACCCACACACAGAGAGAGAGAGAGAGAGAGAGAAATGACATGATACTGATTTGTAACAACACAAAAATATTTGCAGGCGCACTCTATTTTCATTAACTGCTGACACCACCTTGTAATTCTGTATCACATTTACTAACCAATTAAAGAGCTGTTATTGCTAGCAAATGACTCATTCAAGGAATCTAACTCTTGAACAAAATCAACTGTTGGTTCTTTCTTTTCTTCTGTTTCTATCTCACTGTTCCAGCAAATGTGACATCTGTAAGTGAAATAAAAGAAATACATTTTCCGATTAACAAAATCAATTAGACTTCTTTACATATTACTCATTTCAACATTTCTAGCATGTGTCTTCTTCTTCTTCTTCTTTGCGTTCACCAGCTGTACACTCTGGTGGAAAGTTCTGGTTGCTCGTCCACTACTGAACTGCAGTCCTGCTCCAGAACCTGAGTGTTGCGTGTGCATCAGTTTTACAGATCTCATTCTCTTGAATACAGACTGCTGGTTCCTTGCCTCTCCAGCAGATGCACTCCAACTTCAAAGGAAGATCCCCAATTAGTCGACTCTTACGACATGCTTTTGGGGAGGCAGTGGGTCTATTCTTGTTTTCCCCACAATGGGGCCCCGGAACCCACACGGGGTTAGCATGTGTCTATTTAACCTGTTCACCCTGAGAAGCCTAAATCTAATTTCTTCCAGGTATAACACATTCCCTGTAAATACCTTCTTCTTCTTCTTTGTTCACCAGCTGTAAGCCCAGGTGGAAAGTCCTGGTTGTTTATCCACTTCGACTTTAGCTTTGTGCCAGGGCCTGAGTTTTGCATGTACATCCATTGTACTGGCTTATTTGTGCGCAGATGGTTGTTCCTTGCCGCTCGTGCAGATGCACTCCAGCTTCAAAGAAAGCCCCCAGTTAGCCAATTCCTACAACATGCTTGTTGGGGAGGCAGTAGGTCTATTTTTGTTTTCCCCATATTGGGTCCCTGGAACTCACACAGGGAGCCTGTAAATGCCAATGTAGCAGCATTTCTGCCATGGCAAAGGCCTATTCGGGAAAAACGTAGTTAAACACCACTGGTTCTTTTTGTGCCTGTGCAACTTTTAGTAGGTTAGGATATGAATATATTTACTAACAACTGCATTCCCATGTGGGTTCCGGGGCGTCATTGTGGGGTGTTTATAGATTACTTCCTTTATATATCTTTGTTAAAATATGTTTGAAAATATTTTTATGTTAGTGAAGGTAAATGCTATAGCTTTATAGAAGAATGATTACAAAAGCATGGACAGACAAAAAGCATAATGTAAACATCTTCAAAACATTTACTCACAAATTGAACTGATTGTCCAAATCGGAATAAAACACAATTATGTTCTTGTGGCACATCATGATAAGTTAAAAACTGGAGTAGCTCTTAACAAACGGAAAGCTGAAGAGCAAGAGAGGCATAGGTAGACCATGAGAGAAGATATTAGGCAGTCCGATATTATGTCATGCAAAAACTTCAGTCAGATAAATGGCAATACATAAGACAGAAGGCTGTAGCATGCAAAAATTGTTTTTTTTTTCTTTTTAAACATGACGGTTTTATAATATATTTGTAACTAAATGAATACATATTCTGTTGCACACCTACATTCACGTTATCTACTGAGCTTTGGCACCCATAATGAATCATACAAATTTACATACTTCTGGCAGCCATCCAAGCTGAACAAGTACTTGTATTATGCCAAATTTCTTAGTTACATCCCCTGCCGTAACCACCTCTCTGGATTACTTCCTATCCAGTATCTAAATCCTGCAACAATGTGCATACACAGAAGTGTCTAATATTAAAACGTGTTATGGGGATTTTATGACAGACAGTTGAATTTATGTAGTTGTTTTTAATTGTATTCATGTCATTTAAGCTGATGAAGGCTTTTTAGCTTCAGCATTCTGGCCATTTGAATTTGATGCAGACTAGCTCTACTTCTTGTCCGGATTTATACTTTTTATTGCCAGGAAATGTTATGGGAAGTAAAGGTGGCTCATGTGACACTGACCAAATCACATATTGAGTTCCAGTTGGTTGGGTGACAAATTTTATATTTACATCATCTCCCCATTGCCCTATGTGGGTACCAGGTCCTCATTTTGGGAGAAAAGAATAGATCCACTGTCCCACTTAACTAGCATGTCATAAAAGGCAACTAATTAGGGATTTTTTCCTGTGAAGTCAGAGTATATATGCTTGAGAAGATAGGAAGCGAAAGTCAGCAAAAAAGTAAGCCAGATCTGTAAAACAGATGTGCACGCAAAAGTCCAGTTCTGGACTGTCCAGTTCAGTTCAGAAATGGACCAACAACCAGAACTTTGGGCTGGAATTTACAGCTGGTGTAGGCAAAGTAGAAAAAGAGGAGCCACCCAGAGCTTATAATTGTAAATTAATTAAAGAGGTGTAATGGTGCTCATGTTGTAAATATCAGATTAATTTCAGCTTTTATTTGTTGCTTCTGATATTACTCACCCACTCCTGCATGGTGTATCTCTCACATGTGACTTAACATTAGCAGGAATGTATTCAATATCACATTCATATGCTCTGGAAAGAGAGAAAGAGAAACATTGTTAAAGAACCAGTCTCTGCACACTGTTTTATATAAAAGCAGAAACCAAAGTCCAGGTACTAAATGTCAGGATCACTACAAATGTTCAAAGTAAGGTCATCCTGGGTGTTAAACCTTCAGGTAGGAGCCTGGAGGGGACAAATCAGTTGAACAATTGATGTGTGTGTGTTGTCCATCAAGATAATGATGACCACTCTTTTTCATCAAGTATTGGTACGAAGATGACTGATGAGGCCGATGCGGGCCCAAAAAGTTCTTGGAAAGTGAGGACAGGGAATGAGCGTTGTGCCAGGGAGGGGATCTCCTGCAGTTGCCTTTCTGTCCATCCTTTTCTTAATCAGTCTTGCTGTTCTGTTTACTTCACATGTAGCCGCGCCCTTGTGTAGAGCTGCATGCCATGAAAGGCAGCCTTGCAATTGATGTCATTCATCCCAAATGCTTTGAGTGAAGACTTCAAAGTGTCCTTAAAGCATTTCTTTTGCCTGCCTTGGGAACGTTTCCCATTTTACAGCTCACCATAGAAGAGTTTTTTGGGAGCCTGTGATCTGGCATGCATGCCACTTGACCAGCCCAATGAATCTGATACTGCATCAGTAGAATGTGGATGCTGGGCATGGCTGCTTTCTCAAGGACTAAGGTATCAGGTACTTTGTCTTGCCATCTGATCTGCATTAGTTTTCTAAGGCAGACTGTGAAAGAGTACTTGCACAGTGACTAGGATTAAAGTGAGGAAGAGTCGCAGTGTCGTCGACTTCACTCTCTCGCCCAAGTCATATCTGGGTCCAGTGGCAAGACAGAGTCAGGACGACTAGAGATATGTCTAGGTGCAGTGGATGACCAGGGCACTCCACAGCGTTTGCTAGTGTCGCCGTCTTGCCTGTTGAACCAAATATGGTTTTCTCTGCACATTCTGCCGACAGTAGTCTTTGCATGCTTGGATAGGCCGATCCTAACTCACCGATGGAAAGGAGCATTGGCTACCCTCACCTGGTTTTCCCCCTTGTGGGTCGCAATCTGAACATCTGACACTAAAACAGCTGAATAATCATCCAACAGTAACAAATTCCAGACACCTCGTTCAACCTTCTAAAAACAAAGTTAGTTGCGTATCCTTTACAGGACGTTGCAGAACCAACCCTAGCATTTTTCGGCTGCTGTGGTTTTTCTAGGGAAATTTTACCTTCAGCAGTTTGTCACTGCTCCTGAACGGCTGGGTCTCGGTACCACTGTCGAAACCAATGCAAGACAAACCATTTGCAATGCCTGAGCCACAGATGCTAACAACCTTCTAAGGTGGCTCTAATCAGGGTACTCTATGCCTAAACTAGGTAAGATTTTGAAATACCCTAATGTTCTAGTTGGATAAATGAATTCTATTTTACACGTGGAGTTAATTTCTTGCTACATTACTAGATGCCTGGTACAATATGAAATACAAACCTTAATTTTGCTTTAGTGAGAGCTTTAACAAATGCAGCATCCACTCTTTTAGCCCCAAGAGCTTTGTAACGTCCGATATATGTCAAGACCTGCCCGGCAAAACCATACTGGCAATTAAAACCCCACTGCAGAAACTTATCAGGAGTATATAGGGAGCAAAGGTCAACAGGCTGAAAGTGTCCTGAAGAAGTAAAACAGTTTTAACTGTGTGTAAGAAGTCCTATATATAATATAAACAATGCACATGTGCAAACTCTTCATACACATATACATACAAGCACACCCACGCACACATGCATGCGTATCCACACGCGTGCATACACACATGCAAACATATTCCAAGAAACTCAGTCATTAACTAAAAATAACTACAGACCGCCCCTAGAAAACACTTGGTGACTTTTACATGCTAAGATCAACTAGTATAGATATTGGCATATTTATTCTGAAGCTATTTCGATCTACGTGTTAACTTTTTCACCCCATAGGAGTCCTAGTAACATTACTATTTTCAAAAGTTTTTTAGAAAAACACGTATCCTTTATAATTATCCTAAACTGTTCCCTTAGAGACAAGAGAAAGAGAAGAAGAAACTGAGGAAATTTAGAGAATTGGTCAGTTTTTATAAAATCCAGGTGGGTTTTTCTTCTTCTTCTTCTTCTTCTTCTTGTTCACTATCAGTAAACTCAGGTGGACAGTTCTGGTTGTTGGTCCACTTCTGGACTTTAGTCTGTTGGTTCCTTGCCTCTCAGGCAGATGCATTCCGACTTTGAAGGAAACCCCTAAACAGTTGACTCTTATGACTTGCAGTGGGTCAATTCTTGTTTTCCCCAATAATTCCTTTCTTGATGTGCTAGGGACATGTGGATTTAGTGGACATTTTTGTCTTCCAGTTGTAATTTACTGCTAGATATCACCAATTTATTTCCACAGTACTGACAAAAATCACATCACAACTATATTGATGTTACATTTAATAAAATGGAGTACAAGGAATAATGCAGCACAAAACTGAGAAGAACCTCATGAACACTCTGGAGATATTTGCCATGAAAACTGGCTTCCTAATCCTCAAGTCAAAAGGTAGCAAAAGTCATTTAAGTATAACAACAGCCATAAAATCTGTAACAAATTATATTCTTCAAATAAGCTGCATTTATCATCAAACCAAACTTATGTGTTTAAAATATGTAGGATTTTTCATTCTATAACCTCATTATTAACTCTTTGAGTCCCAAGGAACGCATCATACGTTTATAGATTCCTACCTAGAAGCCCAATGAACGCAAGATGCACCGATTTTACATCTCTTTTGACTACCCCTTGGGCCTGTGATGCTAAACCCCCTGGGACTCAAAGAGTTAAAGTGATCTTCATTTACTTTACTCCAATGTATTTCTTTAAATACAATAAGACAGTGCTTAAAGAAATATGAGAATAAAATCTAGAAAGACGGACAGGACCACATGCTAAAACTGGTAACAATTCAACCTTCAAAAACCTTGTGTTAAATGAAGCCAGTATATTTACAATTAATTACTGCCAAATCTGGGTTCTATACTTTAGCAAGGACAGCTCTCCTGTGGACAGCAGATGGGAACAGGAGATGCAGACAACCTAAGGAAACCTGAAGAAGGACAGTAGAAAGGGAAATGAAAAAGTGCAAACTAACATGGACTACCATCGGCAGAAAAGAAGTTGAGTTTCAATAATTAATATCACTTGTGAATACCTTGTAAAGTATCAATAATGATATGAAGAGAATAAAGAATATAAACAAATCTAGGCTCACAAACACGCTCTCACCATGTATGATATGAAGAACAGCTGTTATTGGATCCGCAACACCCATGACAGACTGTACCACATTGTTTGTTTTACCTGCAGTTTGTGTTTAACAATAAGTTGGCCCCTTTTTCTTAAATTGTTTGCTTCACTGACATATTTAAATAATGTACACAATAGAAACATGTACACTAGACAAGAAAATACAAATGTAGATTAATTAAAAAAATAATTGCATTATTACTGAAAGAAACACACATACTCACAATTTTGACATTCTCCATCTTTGTAACGCAATAAGTGAAATTACTCAGTTTTCTCACAAGAATACCTTAGGGTTCCACCAATCAATTGATACATTTTTTTTTTTGCATCTGGGTCACCATAATTTTAGGCGTTAGGTCACGATAATCTTAAGTGTAAGGCCTTTCCTGTTAGCATGGTGTGTGGCCTCCTCTTCTTACATGGATCAGTGACTGGCATCTCCTGGGCATGTATGTGATCGCAGGTCTGATGTGGCCTGTGGGATGGTTGCCAACTCTTCCTGGAGTGCCTGGAACAGATCACTACCATTGGCTGGAGCAACGTCTTGGAAACAAACATGTAATTGCAGCTTATCCCCCAGCTCAATCGAACTCATTTCTGCAGACAGGGATGGCCAGTAGAGGGTCCGAATGTTATTGGCAGCCAGGAACTGCATGGTCAACCATTCAGAATGGAGTTTGTCATCCTGTTGAAAAAAATATGTTGGCATCCCAAAATTTAAGGACATGTAGTCACAGAATTTTGCTGACGTTTCATTGCGCATTCAAGTTTCTTTTAATGGGCACCAATTGACTCTTAGGGAACCAGACCTCCGAGACGACCCAGGGTGCGCTGGGAAGACAACATCCGACAGTCCCTAACTGACAGAGGACTGGAATGGAACAAAGCCAGAAAGAAAACTGCGGATAGAGACGTCTGGCGATCTCTCTGGCAAACCTCTACACCCCAAGGTAGAAGAGGAGCGACTAAGTAAGTAAGCAATTGATTCTTTCCATTGCAACTGATCATTCCCACACCACTACACCTCCACCACCATACAGCAAAGCTTTATCAACACAATTTCGGGCTAAACCTTCATTTTATCTATGGTAGACCCTACACCGTCTATCATGATGCTGCAACAACAAAAAAGAATGGTCAGTGAACCAGATGTGCGATCCACTGTGGAGAAAAACAAGAATAGACTCACTTTCTCCGCAACAATCATGCCCTAAGAGGTGACTAATTGGGGGGCTTCCTTCAAAGTCGAAGTACATCTGTCTGAGAGGTAAGGAACCAGCAGTCTGCATACAAATAAGCAAGATCTATAAAACAGATGCACATGCAAAACTCAGGTCCTGGAACAAAGCTGAAGTCTAGAAATAAATTAACAATTAGGTCTTTCAGCCGGAGTTTACAGCTAGTGAACACAATCAAGAACACGAATGTATGAATAAGTTTACATTAGCAGCTTCCAAAACATGCTGCTGCTACAGATTTAGTACCAGTGAAGACCAAAATTATCACGTGCAGTTTTGCAGATAAAGAAATAAGAATAGTTAGTTCTTACCTGTTGGAATTATACCAAGAGGGAGTGGTGATGGGGCTGGTTGAGCTCCATGCTTCATTTCAACTTCTTTCTCCTTCTGGGCCCGATTCATCAAAGCATTCACTACCTGGCTCACTGTGCCATCTCCTCCCATGCAGACAATACTGTAATAATTCACCAGTGACCTTTAACCTTCAAACATTTCATAATTTCTCCATCTCTGTGCTTAACATTCACACCAAACGAGAAAATGTGTACAGGATGCTAGATTCATATTTTTACAGACTAATCTACATTCAATTATTATTTTGGTAAACATCATGCTGGCCATCTTAACCTCCCCAGAAATTTCCAGGAAACCATTTAAGCTGGGTTGACCCGGGAGCTGAGGTCAATTTTCATAAATTCACCCAGTGAAGATTCAAACCAAAGAGTGTTGGACCAGCAGAGTGGCATCTAGCCTAAAAACATGACTGTATACTTATTAAATTATGTACTGTAGTCTTTCACCTTCTCTTCTTTTCTTTTCTTCTTCTACATCTGTCCTTAAATTCTCAGTGGAGGTTATATCCCTCAATCAACTCCTGCCTAATCCTGTTCACTACTCGTTGGATTTTCCAGCTTAAGATTTTCAGACTGAATAAGGTAGCCAGACTAACACCGTTTCCTCCTCCGTCCCCTCTTATTGTATGTATGGTAGGTAACAGTTGAGTCATAACATTAGCTCATTACATTACTTACAATAAAGTATGCATAAGACAGTTGACTACACATTAAAAAAAAAATTTCAAGATCAGTAGTTTGCCACTGCTTTGAGATAACTTGCTCTCAATACCACTGTTGAAATCAACGCAAGGCGGGCGGTCTACTACCAAATAACCGACAGATGGGATCAAAGCCAGCACTCCAAAGTTACAAAGTGCTTTCAAGACACCTAAGCCACATAAAACACAAATAACACAGTTTAAAAATAATTAATGCTAAATATAACAAACAAATGTGACAAGAAAGCTCAATGGGGGGAATGGAAAAAACTCACACACACAAACACAACAGAATTAATCACTGTGACAGTTTGTTGCTGTATTTAATACCAGGTGCTGTTGAAATGTTTGACTGTGTTAGTGGCGTCTTTTCCATTCCCTTCTCTGGGCTTTCTAGTCACATTTTGTGCTAAACTTTACATTTCTTGCAATCAGCTCGAATGCAGTCACTCTCTATTTATAAATAAGACTTAAGCATACCATAAGTCAGCAAAAGAATTGTCAAACCAACTTATCAAGAGCTACAGGAAGCAAATTTCAAAAGGCAGATTACTACTCTTATGACAAGATAATCATCATTTGTTGGTCACATGCAAAATAAGAGACTGGAAACATTATGGCAATTTAGTCTGAATGACAAAGGATGATAGTGAAGAAGATGTAAGATGGTCTTGTGGAGTAGTTTGAAAAAGAATTAGTGAAGGAACTTTCTGGAATCATCATCATCAGGTGTCTTGCTGACTGGCATGGGAACTCATGCCTCTCCACAAATCCACAACTGCATGTATCAGTTCGTCTGCTGACACCCCTCCATGCCATGACAAAAGACTGTCAAGAATCTTCTCAAGCTGTCTTCCTCTGTCTCTCTTTTCCCACTGATCTTTCCGGTGGTCATAATATGAACATTGCATTTTTTTTTAAGCAACAAAATTTGACCAGTTCTTACCATACAGATAACTAATTGTGGTGGCAGTTGCAATGGCTGCCTTATGCATTAAATACATGTGTATGCTACTGGCTTTGCTGAGACAGCAGTCTGTGTCAGTTACTTTTACATTCTGGGGGGTTTTTGTTGGCTGAGGATTGGAGCAACAATGTGTTTACCCCTTTTGCAGTGAAGTTAGAACTGCAAGTACCTGATTACATGATGCAGATCACTTTTATTTCAGAGAATTCACTAAAATGCATGCATTACACTAAGAAATAAAATACACGTAAGTAACATACCAGTCAAAGTCATCCAAATTTAAATGTATCATCTGCTGCTTGACATACTCATTGTGAATCACTTCTGAAAAACATAATTATCATAATTTTATAAACTTACAGTGATGTATTAAGTTTTTAAAGCAAATAACACAGAGATGATTCTTTGACATGAGTTGGTTGATTGAGTCAAGTCTATTGTATTTGAAAATGAGAATTCCAGCATGCACAAGGAGTAGATAAACACACGGCTACGCCATCAATTGTGTTGTTCACTTTTTAACTCTTTCAGTATCAAACAATGCATCATACATATCCTGGTCATTCTTATTAAATGTGTTGTTGATGCTGACTTCTATCACAGTCACTCACTGAATTAACCATTTGCATTTGAATCATTAATTCAACTACTTCTCTCCTATGTTGTCTTTGTTGAACTTATTCAGACCAAAATATTTTTTGTTTTTTAAATCAGCTCCTTGGGACAGAAGTAGTCAAAGTATCAAATGACTGGTACTGAAATAGTTAATGGAATCTATAGGGTAAATGTCACCTCACTCAGATTTTGGTTTACTTCTTTACCAGAAGTCAGCTGAAGCCAGTAAAGTCAAAGGAAATAAGAACTAGCATCAAACATAGAACATTTATCTATAATGTAAAATCAGTATGCTGTACACAACTGAAATGTTGCCTGTTCCAACAAGCAGAAGCAGTTCATAGACAGGATGAGCCTTGACATTCATTGGTATCTGACTGGCAATGCAGACATAGTGACGCTGGTGGAGTTTAGCTGGTCCTCTTTACTCAGTCTACATCAGTGGAAGTCGTAATGTCGCTCTGATGGCAAATGCAACGCAACGCAACATACTACACAAGAGAAGTGGCCAGAGGTGTTACAGTCAGTTTCATAGATGATAAAGCAGTGGATACTTTTGGTCTAAAATAAAGGATTAGGCATGGCAGAGTGTTTAGCTTCGAAGTTATTTTTGCTACTGACAGCGCTTTGCTAATGTAGTTTCCACATTTGGACAGTAGTCTATGTTTTTTTTGCCTGAGCTACTGAGTTTAGTGCTTAATGCAGCCCTGTGAGCTGTGTTTTCCTATGGAATGCCTTTGATTTGTGCAGCGGTTGTGTCGTAGTATTCAATATGGCCGATAGCTGGGTTTCATGTGAGCTGGTGAAATACCTTATGTAATAATTTTACAGGTGTATAGCCAGCTTATCGTGGCCAACTTGAATGTTAAATGTTGATGTTGAATTGAGAATCGACATTGTAGTACTCGGGACACTCCCATAAGTGCTCCATCCCCATCTTCAGCAACAAACGAAGAGTTCCAATTCCGATGACACAGTAACTGTCTGATTTTATAGCTGTCTCGCCCTTTCCCTGAGTGTTGAGCATCAGCCAGATCCCCTGGTAGCTCCCCACAGCGTAATTATCTATTTTCGCTTCCTCATTGTTCACTCACTCCAAGAGAGCTCTCACAACGTCTAGCTTGTCATCAGTTAACCACCAAGTGATGCAGAACCGGCCAGTCTATCTGCCTGCTCCTTTTCCAACACACCGGTATGACTTGGAGAGAATATCCAAAGGATTTTAACTACCCGGGACCTCTGAGATGATGCTTGCCACTCTGCATGGAGCATACCTGTCTCCACCTTTCTCAACTTGCTCTGTGAGTCAAAATCATGCCCGACTATTTCCATCAAAGACAAACTGCATTTCTGGTGGTGACTGTTGGATTTGGCATCTCTAACAATGGCCATTTGCATTTACTGCATGCATATTTCTGGATTGTTCCAAGACTAATTGTCTGTTCACCTGTTTTTCAAATGGGACAGTAAGGGTCAATTCATTTGATTTTCACTGGTACAGGAATGGAGCAAGTATGGGGAAACCCGACTAAGACTAAGACAACTGAAATATGGAGAACAACAAAAATAATTACAAATAAAATACAAACATTAATTACCTGGTGCCTGCTCAGAACAGAGGGAATTAAATGGCATGAAAAATTCACCAGTGTGGAGGTTTGGGAGAGAACTAAACAAATTTCAGTGAATAAAGAAGTGAGGACAAGATGCTGATGGTGGATGGGTCACACATTAAGAAGACCTGATAGCACAAGGTCAAAAGAATAAAGTCAGACAAAAAACAAAAAGTGTCGCACAAAAATATACAGAAATAGAAACATATTTCCCAATAACATTATAAACAGCCAACATTAGAAATGGCGTCTCACCTGCTAAATCAACACTGACACCAGCACTGTGGAACAATGGAAGTACTGTTTTCTGATATGTGAAAAGACCAGCTTTGTTCCCTGCATGTGGCTGCAGGAACAACTTAATACTGACTGGCCTCTCAGGGTGTTTGGCTATGGAAGTAATGATAATTCTATTACTTACAAAATAGAGTTAACTTTTTCAGTGGAGGAGGAAAAAAAGAAGAACTTTAAAGACACACAAAACACCTGTCTTTTTAATGGAAGTTATGTTTAATAGTCGGCTCTGTGGCTAAGTCGATGCAAACGCTTCGTAATGCCGGGGTGCCGGGTTCGATCCCAGCTGTGTGCCATGCGCCTTGTATTGGTGTCGACGATGGTACCAGGAAGCACTGGCAAACTACTGGACATAAATTTGCCTAGAGAAACCACACAACAGCCAGGGGCTGTTGGGGTTGGTTCTGCAACATCCTGTAAAGGATACGCAACTAACCTATGTTTAATCAATAATATTATCTATTTCAGTACCAAAGAAGGCATCATGTGTGACTGAATATTACTAATGTGTACCAAGCAGCATGCTGTGTATATCTGTAACTTTGTGATAGTGAGAACACACTGAAGTTTATTCCCTAAAAGAAATGCTTATTTTGATCCTCATAGAGGTTATACACATATGACTATATTTTTGTCATTATTGCCTCACAAAAGCATTAGTTAAGAACTTCTCACACTGCAAAAGTTAAGTAATACACTAACTGATTCACTCTTTACAATATCAGGTTCCTAGCTACAAATAGTGTACTGAGTCACTTTACTTCTTTCTAATGTGGCTTGTTGTCTGTTCCACGTGCTCAGTACTTAGTCAGTCTTGCACACAAATGAATACAGTACACAGACATCAGGAACAGGATCCTAGGTACAGTTTCATAATCATATTGATTGATCAATGAACATTATTCCTCTGGCCATCTGTCCGCCATCTAGAATTCGTTGCACCACAGATAATCATCCCCATGACTGCATTCTGTCAAACAAGAAATCTTTCAAGATGTAGAATTCTCTTTAGCTAGTTGGTCAGCATTCACTTGCATCATACATGCCATCACTGCAGGACTAGTCAACACACAAAATATGAATTTTTAAATATAGGAAATATTATGTAAGTGATTTAATATTAATCTGATTGACACAAATATTTGCAACAAAAACCATTCTAATTTGCAATCCACACAATGAGGGTTTCCCCTTTTGTATTTCTGAGTAATAATAAAGAAAAAAAAAATGTTAACAAGAATGATAATAATATAATGCTAAATAATATTTTTCAAGCAAAGAAATATTTAGTTTGTCAATTTATACCATAAATACTTATTTGAAGGACAAGTTAGACTTTTTAAAATTTATATATATATATATATATATATATATATATATATATATATATATATATATATATATATATATATATATATATATATATATATATATATATATATATATATATATATATATTAATGACACTTCCTCAGAAAGTTTATCTTAAATAAGTAAAAATAAATGAAAATATTTTTTTTTTAAATCTTTGCCTTCTCCCAATCTCCGTTTAGAAATGAATAAACACTCAAAATTTAGCATATAGTGGTAATACGAGGGAAGGTAAATAGGTAAATCACAAATGGTTATGGGATGGCAGGAAAATGTAGTTGGTGGTTTCTAAAGGTGTCAATAGGGGACAGCAACATCGAACCTTATGTCTCGGTTTGTTAGGTGGCGCTAGGTGTCGCATAAGCATTCACAACACAGAAACAAAATGGCAATTGTACTTAGGAAGTGTACCTTCAAAGAGCAACATGCTGTTGTGCGTTTTCTTTGGGAAAAAGGGCTGTCTAGAAAAGATATTCATAATAAATTGCTTCTTGTTTATGCTGACAAATGTTTATCCCGTAAAGTGGTGCATAGCTGGGTAAAAAAACATTTTCTCAAGGACGCTCTAAAATTGTTGATGAAATCCGATCTGGTCATCATGTTGAGATTACAACAGACACAACCATGCAGCGGGTGGAGGAGATAATTAGAGGTGACAGGTGAGTAACGGTTGACTGTGTAGCAGCTGTAATAGAGTGCTCACATGGCTCAGCATACAACATAATGCATGATCGATTGAAATTTAAGAATGTTTACTCAAGGTGGGTACTCAGACAACTGATGGATGAACACAAAACAGAGCAGTTCTATGCAGCAGGTTTGGGAGGACTGATAAAACAATGAGACAAGTGCATCAATGCTGGTGGAAATTATGTTGAAAAATAAAAAGACAGTGAATGTGTAAATACAAATGGTTTTCAAGTTGTTATCATCTTTAGTGTTTTTTTTTTAAAAACCATTTGTGACTTACTTATTGACTTTCCCTCATATTTATTCCTGAGAAAAACTTTTTTTTGTGTGTGTACGATGTCAGAATCATGATTGCAAATGTATGTACATTACAGTGCATTTGACAAATAAAACTGTTTCTGATAATTCAGAAATTATTTATTGATGGTGAATATTAAATAGGTATTTACCTCGGATGGATCGTTTAATCTTTTTTTCCCAAGAGGTGCACAACTCTTCACTAGGGTGTTCAAGAAAGATAACTCTTTCCCTCAGTGTATTTTCATTCTTGCTTTCCACCATGCACAGAACTAGGCCCAGACAAACACCAGCAGTATCTTTTTCTGTCCTTGCTTGATGCTTGACATAAACCCCAAATAATGACGCAAGAGATACACCTTCTGATGTTGTTTCCTCTGAGGCAGATGCTCTTCTGCTGCGCAACATTCCTGAAAGTTTCCTTGCAGATTTTCTTCTGACTCCTGAAGATAAATTTTTATGAAGTTTATTTATTTTGTATGAAAAAGTTTATAAAATCATCTCCTTGTGAGATGCAATTTATCGTTATTTGAAGCCCTACTCTGGCTCTTGCCAGGGGCCGCAATATAGCCCGACCACATGGTCTGATGGCTAAATGCGGTTTCTGGGACCTCTCCTTGGCGATCCTCATCCACATGGTGACTTGGATGTTTATCACTTGTGTGATGTCCTGGTGGGGTAAAAATCTACTACTGCTATTTATTTTGTTTATATTTTTCTTCTTCATGTTCACCAGTTGTAAACTCCAGCGGAAAGTTCTGGGTATTCGTCCACCTCTGGACTTTAGTCTTGTTCCACAACCTGAGTGTTGCGTTCACATCCATTTTACAGATCTGTCAATTGTATGCAGACTGTTTGTTCCTTGCCTTTCAGGCAGATGCACTCCAACTTCGAAGGAAGCTCCCAATTAGTCGACTCTTACGAAAAGCTTTTGGGTAGGCAATGGGGCTATTCTTGTTTTCCCCAAAATAGGGCCCCAGAACCCACATGGGGAGTTTATATTCTATTTGGGCTAATCTTCAGAACTTGTACCTGTAAAGGCTAGTCTTCTCCTACATATCCCATTAGAAAAATATCACCACATACAATTAACTGGCAAGAACAAAAATGTGTATGTAACGGAAAAACAAGGTATAAATACTTTTTGTGTGTGTGTGTGTAGGTTATAACTGAAAAATGTCATTATTTCTTTCTTTTTGCTTCCACAAGGATGTAGGATGTAATAAAAGTTCCTCTTACTTTTTGTATTTGTTTCTGTATCTGCTCTATCAATTCTATCTAGACTAGATTCTACATATGTGAAAATTACCCTTATGTACTACTACTACTACATTTTACCCTACTATGACATCACACAAGCGATAAACACCCGATGACACTAAGTGCCACCATGAGGATCACCCGTGGAGAGGTCCCGGAAACCGTGTTCAGCCAGTAGGCCATATTTATGGCCAGGCTATATTGCGGGTGGGGCTTTAAAATAACACAAAAACTGCACCCCACAAGTGGATGACTGGCTTAGTTGTAACCTTATGTGGGGTAAATAGTCAACAAGACAGAACAAGTACACACAGCAAAAACCTGGTAACAGTATTAGAATGCCCTTGTACTGTAACCCATGGAGATTAAAGGAATAATAGCAGATTAAAGAAAACAACACAGAGAACAAAATAGAGACAGGTGAAATAGATAAGGAGGTCATAAGGTGAGCTTCCCAAAGTGACAAAGAATAGACAAGGATGGCTTTTAAATAATGCAGTCATGGAGAATACATTGCGCAATAATTTGCCTGACATATTTTATTGTAAATCTGAACAAAAGAGACACAAAGAATAGATTGCACAACTTATTGCCTAGCATATTTAGCTGTATCTCGTCAGGTGTAAACTACAGTAACAATTACATAAATGAAGCAGATTAGTGAATCCTTTATAACAGAAGTACAAATTCAACAAAAATCAAACATGACTGCCTGTTTTACCAGGGCAGCTGTAAAGTCAGAACCATATCTTTCTGTATACATTATTCCAGGCGCAGGTCACAAATCCTGGAAGCTTCAAGAAATCTTAGCGTTCTCATTGTGTTTTTCATTGTGTCTCAATAGATGCATTACTATAGAGTTAAATCAGCATATAAGGAAGTATAAAAGTGACTTTTGTTTTGTGACTAGGAAGGAAGGCTTGTGCTCCACAGGCAGAAGGAGAATAAGGGAAGAGACAGAGCAAGACAGCAAATGTGATGTGGAAAACATAAACAGCTTGGAAATTAAAAATGACATAACTAACACCAACTATTTAAAATATAAAATTACACACAATAATAGAGGCATGACTGCCAAAGTCTGTTTCTGACCATGTGCATAAAGAAAATTATCAGAATGAAGAAAAAAAGTTCAGTAACTTGTCTTTGTGACCCCCCCCCCCCCCCACCCTCCGACCCCCCAAAGCAAGAATTATTATCCTGCATCACATTTCATATGTGATGTTTAATCATCTGTGCCTGTGGCACTGACGTTGTGAACGCTCTTCATAATTATGTTTGTTTTAGTATCAAGATCAATGATTTGTTAACCCTTAGGCTCGGTATTATGGATATTGCAACCTTTCGGCCTTGATTCCATTGTAAATACCGTAAATTTGGTAGAAAATGTGGCTTTCCTGCCTACCCCCGGGATTGAACCCGGACCACAAGGAGTTTGTCACCCGGTCTCCGCGCAATCCGGTTTAGCCAACTACACTAGAGAGCTGGGCCTTCATAATTATGAGATCCTAAATTTAATTCCAACTGCAGGCAATCTGGTAACACACCGCTTTGCATTGATTTTGACAATGTTATTGAAAGCAATAAGAAACTACTGAACATAAAATTGCTTTATAAAACCAGACAGCCAAAAAATACTGGCACTGGTTCTGCAACATCCTGTAAAGGAAATGCCACTTTAAAAAAAAAAACTCTTTTTTGAATCAGAGCAATGAGAATGCAGGATAATAGTTACTATTCCAATAGTTTCTCACCCAAAGCACTCATAGCCATCCAAAATATCCGCTCTCTTGTTACAGAGAGCACAACGTCATATCCTTCTCCATCAATGGTGAAGACAGCTTTTAAATCCTCATCACAAACAGACTTTCTTGCATTTCTTGGGGCAGAATCTTGAGCACTATTGCTTGAGCAGTTTGATTCTTGTCTCAGCAACAAACAAGGATTCTCAGTTGCATCAATCAGCACTGGGATGTCATTATTTCTATTGGTGTATTTTTTTTCCATGTCTGACAATTTAGTGTTCTAAAGTGTTTTCATTCACAGAAAGGAACAGTATCATGTGTTGACAACCACTGTGCTACTGGAACACTTGATATCTACACATTACAGCATTTTTTGCAGGAGACCAATCATCTGTGGCAATGTCTATGTGCTATGATTTTTTTATATTTTTTTATGTACACTGAAACAAACCCATCTTTAATTATTAGTGTTTCATTTTTATTAAAGGGAACTGATTTTCTTATATGAACAGTTAGTCTGTTTTGGAAGAGGTTTCAATAAGTAAAATAACAGTTTCAACTTCAACCTCTGCTTTGAAGTGATAAACATGTTTTGAAAAAAAAAAAGTGTATTTAATAAACTTTTTTTCCTTCTCAAAGAGCTCACAAACACAGCAGGAGCGTCCTAAGGCCTAGGAGTCATGACCAAGGCTGGCTCGCCTCCAGAATGTGTTTAAGGGGGAATGGAGTCAAAACACTTGTTGACAGAGGTTGCCGTTGATGGCGGACCTCTAATGATCATCAGCAGACTCCTGCTGTTTAAGCTCACACCATGGAGTACTGGCTTCACTAATCAATGTGGTAGGCATCTCATACCTACATTTTTTCTTCTCCTGCCATTCATCTCTAAACAGGACATAGGCCCTCAACTAACTCACACCGAGCCCTTCTAGATTTTTCCACAACTGGTTAGATTTTGCAGGTATTTTTTTTACAGGATAAAGCAGTCAGTCTCATGTTAACTATTTTTATTCATCTCTAGAGGTTCTAACAGCTTGCATGGCAGGTTATTCTTCTAATAGGCTATGCTGTGTGGTCCTAATAATCCACTCTATCCACGGCCTTCTGTTTTGTGTATTTTCAGTCATTTCTACACAGAAGATCTTCCAATTCATGATGTCAAACTGTACGTTTCTAGGCTGCTTTATCTCTTCTGGGATAAGACTAGTTTTCTTCATCCTTACCAAAGCTTTCAAAAATGACCTTGGCTCCCAGGGAGGACCCAGCTTTGAGTGGGTACTGGGTGCAGTCCCAGGAAGTAAAGGCAACATGATGCTGACCACATCACCCATCTTGTGCTGATTTGTCTATAAAATATAGGTCTAGCCCTATATGCCAAATGGCAGGGAAAATAGTCCTTTGCTTTTCTTTTCTTTTTTACCTCCCCCAAGCTCTCCTCCGGCGTAGATTGGGGCTAAACTAGATGGCTGGGACTCACGAGCAAAGCTGCAGGAGATGCGGAAGCTGCTGCTCGTGAGTCCCAGCCATCTAGTTTAGCCTCTATCCATGCCGGGGGAGCTTAGCGACGTGGGGGATATTCTCGGCGGTGGCGGTAGTCGCCGGAAGTGCGCAATTTAAGTCGCCTGAAGTCCTCAATTTATATGTGACTGAGGCCCTGTTAGGGTGTTTTTCTAGCCGCCTTAATATGTTGCCGTTATTTGGAGGATAGCCCGTTGGTGCAGTATAGAATATCAGGTTTAGTATGAGGTTAGGAAGTACCGACTATTGTTATCGACGATAGTTCAGACACATCTAACAAAGACCTTTTACGAATATGAATAATTATAATAGTAAGAACAGAATGGAGGAATAGACTGTATAACAGTGTTATGTGACATAATGACACAAAAGGACAGCCGATGAATGAAAATATCATTTTACTGAACAATATTTAAATACATTTCACTTTGCACAGATTCATAAACTGTTAACACATTGTTAATCTGCTTTGTTGGTGTTTTCATGGAATCATAATCCCATTGTGTTTGTTAGGACCCTATCAGTCAATTTTACATCTTCGTCGCCGGGTATCTTCAGCACAATCGAAATCTCTCTAGTGCTATTGGTCAAAATTAAACCAGTGTTTACACGTTGCTAAGATACTGCTACAAAAGTAAGAGTTGTCCCAACATATTTGTCGGCGACCGGGTCACTCGCAGTGTTGCCACTTTGAATGTTTTACATTCAGATTTAGATGTTTTCTCTTGCATTTAGATTGCGTTTTAGACGTTTAGATGGTAGATGTTTTCATTTGGAGTGAATTTATCAAATCTAACCTAAGAAACAGGATGACATTTGACCTCTTTAATGCTATCTTGACAATAAAATTCGGCCTGATAAGAGTAGGAAAAGGCCGTTCCACTTATCAGTCCCTAATTAGGTATTAAAAGAAATTGGAACAGCTAAAGCATACCAGAGTCATTTTGGTTTCGAAGCATCAACTTCATCATCCAAGCTAAGTTTATCCTGTGGATCTTGCAAAGCAGACTTCAGTAAAGATGAGGACATGATTCTATAGGGTAAGTCATATCAATTGCTATCAATCAAGTAACAGAAAGTGTATTTATCAATTGCTATGTAATTTGTAACGTCGTTGGCTCATCGGTAGACAACTTCGTCGCTGGTCGGAGCAGAATTTGGGTCTGTCTCCTTTGATCGCATTTACACTGCAGAAAACCTTTTTATGGCTCTTAGAGGCTTGCAATAGTCAGTTCATATGGCGTACATATCCTAGCCACAATCATAAACAAAAGCTCCCCCTGCTAGTTAAACGTGACGATTTAATGTTAATTGTATATTATCCTCGCCCCGATATTGGACACACATTTTTTTAAGGCTCTTACCCCGGATGTCGTCGGAGGCCCTAATATAACCTAACGGTTGGACGGGGTCTCTAGGACTCGTGCCCGCGGGTTTTTAAACCGAATGGTGACACCTTGTGTCACCGGGTGTTTATCCCTCGTTGTGTGGTCCTAGAAGGGTTGAATGTCACTCACACAGCAGTTGAGATTTGTTCAGAGATTGCTTGCCTTTTCGATTATGTTCGATTCCCGGCGTAGACAAAGCTTTCGGGACACTACCATTAAGCGCTCCTCCCCATCTTCAGCAGCAAGCAAAGAGTTCAAATTCTGATGGTACCAGTAACTGTTTGGTTGTTCATCTGTCTCACCTTTCCCTGGAGTAAAAGTAAAAGTTATTGTTCAAAAATATCATGTTCAACCCCAGGGCTATAATTGGGATATATAGTGTTAATTGACTTCTCAAAGTATATATTTGTTATTGTAAATTTATGTATCATGTGTTATTTATATGACCAAAATGTAATTTGTATTGTTTCACATTTTGCTTTGATTTGGGTTGGGATTGTCATACATACTATATTATGAATAATTAGACGGTCTTATTAACACTGTGTCACTAACATGGAGGAAATATATATTGTTTCCTTAGTCTGCAGTTATTGATTATTCTCCTCGATTTCGGGAAACTTCTTCAAAGATGCCATGAGCATTTTTTGCCCTTCTATATTTAGATTTTAGTCATAGTAATAAACTGCTTCACCTTGCCACCACAGGCTGTTTGTATGCAGCAGTTTCCCATCGTCATAAGTGTTGTCAACCCAGCCAACTCCTTGTGAGATGCAATGTTTCGTTATTTGAAGCCCTACTGTGGCTCTTGCCATGGGCCGCAATATAGCCCGCCCATAAATATGGTCTAATGGCTGAACGCGGTTTCTGGGACCTCTCCACGGCGATCCTCGCCCACATGGTGGCACTTTGTGTCATCGGGTGTTTATCGCTTGTTAGTTAGTTAGTTAGTTAGTTATTTAGTTGGGTATTCCTCATTGCACTCCGGACATGTCCATAGGTGCTCAGATCCTCTCCTCAGTATGAACCCCAACATCCGATGGCTAATAGTACCAGTTCTATGTTGATTAACAAGTCTTCTGGCGTAACTGGTGTGCGTCTCGTTTTTTGCTGTGCCGATCTTAATTCCCAAGTCTGCCATTCTGGCGAGTGATGTGGATTCACTGCCACCAAAGTCGTCTATCCTTCCCATTTCTCTGAGGGCATTGATAATATCAGCATGATCCATAGGCTGACCGTCGGTAGTGATAGCGGATCCAGCCAACCTGTCAGCTCTTTCATTTCCATCGACGCCTGCGTGTCCCGGAACAAAAATAAAGGTGACTCCACGGACAGTGGACTTCTGTAATGATTCAAGCCATTGTCTTCGCACTGAACCTGCCTGAACCCTCCGGATCATACTCATTGAATCACTGAGTATACACACGCGGGTGTATTTTTGTGTTTCAAGCCAGGCAAGTGCTTGTGTCACTGCCATCACCTCCATCGTCATGCTGCTGGTTGTCATGGAGAAGGCACCGTTGGCTTCTTTGACTGTTCTGCCCGCTGAGCGTGCTGTAAATGCCCATGCGCTTCTTCTTTGGCGTATAACGGATCCGTCTGTATAGATTATTGCATCTGCTTCGTCTGAATTTTCACCGATGAGAGCGTTGACCTCTGCATTAACAGCAACAGGATTCTCTTCTCTACATCGCCTGTTGAGTGTGACAATACAGGAAAATGTACAAATAAACGCCTGAGGCACAGGTATCCATTCTGCACCAGGTATGATGTCGGTTAGGCTGCATATTTGCCTAATAACATCTTCTGCCCGACCTAGCCACGATTTCCCCCTCTTCAGTCTGTCGCCCTTTTCACTAAAAAGCGCTTGATGCAGTGGGTGTTTCTTATCAGCACATATTTTGAGATATGCCCGAGCCCTCCACATCCTGATCCTTTGGTTCATTGTTGGAAAGTCAAGTAGATACCTCATTGACCACAGGATGTGTCTCTAGTACATCCCAAAATAATGCGCATGGCTTCATTTTGCACCTTTTCGAGTCGTTCAATCTGGGTAGCACTGACAGTGAGGATGGCCAGAGCGTATTCAATGGGGGAAAGGACCAGACCGTAGAATAGAAGTATTAGTAGTCTTTGCTCAATGTTGGAAGCAGCCATAATCCTCATTGCAGATAGACCTTTGCGTGCTTTTGTTATCACATGGTCAACGTGTTCCCTGAATGACAAGCTGCGATCGAACCTCACCCCGAGAAACGTCATAACGTTGGTTCTGATCAATACATTATCACGCATTTTTACTTCTGGTAAGTCCGACTTGACAATGTGATTGTTCAAAGAGAACCATGACACTGATGCCTTCGAAGGATTGACATAGGCATTGGAACCATCACACCAGGCGGCAATTCGATCGAGTTCTTTGTGCATAGTGCTGGCGATCTCCTGTCTATCGCTTGTGTGATGTCCTAGTGGGGTAAAAATCTACTACTTCTTCTTCTTCTTCTTCTTCGCGTTCACCAGCTGTAAACTCTGGCGGAAGGTTTTGGTTGCTCGTCCACTACTGAACTGCAGTCCTGCTCCAGAACCTGAGTGTTGCGTGTGCATCAGTTTTACAGATCTCATTCTCTTGAATACAGACTGTTGGTTCCTTGCCTCTCCGGCAGATGCACTCCGACTTCAAAGGAAGCTCCCCAATTAGTCGTCTCTTACGACATGCTTTTGGGGAGGCAGTGGATCTATTCTTGTTTTCCCCACAATGGGGCCCCGGAACCCACACGGGGGAAAAAATCGTCATGTCATTTATAGCGATTCGTGTAGTCAGTTAATGGTTTCCTTTGGTTTTCATATTTCCTACATTCCAGCAAATAGTGCTCTATATTATTAGTATTTATGGCATATTTTTCATATCTCTTTTATGTAGACCATCCATGCTGTAGTCTAAGCAGTTTACGACTGCATGGCATTTTAAGTTCCTCTGCAATGAGTTATAAGTTCGATTATCTTCATATACCTCAGGACACATCCATGGGCGCTCAAACTTCCCTCTCAACATATTCATCAGCGTCGCGCGGTTAATAGTGTTAGTCCTATGTTGGTTAACAAGACTTCGGGTGCGTCCTGTGTGCTTCTCACACTTGGCTGTGCCGATCTTTATTTCCAATTCTCGTATTCTTAGCAGTGATGTGGACACGTTCCTTCAAAATCCTCAGAACGTCTTATCTCTCTAAGGGCAATGACATTGTCTGCGTGATCTATGGGCCGATCATCTTCAATTATTGCAGCACCTGCCAGTCTATCAGCTCTTTCATTACCAACAACGTCTCCATCCACTGGGACGAATATGAAGGTAACTGCACACACAGGAGAGTTTTGCTATGACACAAACTACAGTCTTCGTAACCAGCCTGCCTCGACCAGCCGGATCATGCTCAAAGACTCACCCAGCACACACACCCGGGAATAATAGTCCGGTGATTCTAGCCACAGGAAGGCTTGTGTCACCGCCATCACCTCCATCGCCATGCTGCTGGTAGTCACGGAGAAGGCACCACTGGCTTCTGCAATGTTTGCGCCCTTCTGTCAACAAATCCAGCTTCTTCGGGCGTCTATCTTGTTGCCCAGTTTAGCCTTCTCGGTTAGCTTTGTGGAGCCTTTCACAGCTATCGTCTTGTACATCTCAAACAGTAAAATGTGGTTTAGTATCTTTGCTTTACTGAGATGTTCATTTTTGGACTTTTTACCGTTGAATTTGACATAGTTTTTTTTTTTTTTTATTAAAAAACATATAACCGACATAACATTATTCATCTTAGGCAACCGTCAGCCGTTATGGACCACCCAGCCGTACCGCTGGTTTTGGAAACAGCGTATATTATCTTCTTCTTTTTCTCGTTCACCGGCTGTAAACTCCGGCGGAAAGTTCTGATTTTTCGTCCACTTCTGGATTGCAGTCCTGTTCCAGAACCTGAGTGTTGTGTGTGCATTCGTTTGACAGATCTGTATGCAGACTGTTGGTTCCTTACCTCTCAGGCAGATGCACTCAGACTTCGAAGGAAGCTCCCAATTAGTCGACTCTTACGACATGCTTTTGGGTAGGCAGTGGGTCTATTCTTGTGTATTATGACTCTAAAGTTGAAGTCTTTTCCACCAGACTGCATAAAAGCGTCGATATTCTATTGTCCTGAAGCTGGTTCTCTTTTAGACATCGCACTATAGCTTGTCGTGCTAGACCTCTTCCACAGTGCGACAGTAGGTTTTTCGCTCTCTGCCTCCATTGGAGACATTTTGCCGCTGATTTATCACAAATATCCGTGTTACTGTTGGTTTCTTTCATGTTTGTATGTCTCCTTTTAGCGTAGATCTTATCCCTGTTTCCAGTTCACTATGCAAAATATCCGTTGGAATGTGACAGGCCTCAATGCGGAGAAAATGACCCAACAAGCGTAGGCGTCTTTGCTTCGAAGTGGTCAACGCCGTTTGCCTCGCATTCTGAAGGTCGTAGGTTCGTTATAAGACTGTGTCGCTCAGTTCGCGAGTGCAGTTGTTACTGTTGTCTCCTGGGTTACGGAGTTCGGGCTTTGTGTGATGCTCTAGGTAGGTGGCTAGCCGTTCTGCATAGAGAGAGAGAGAGGGAGAGAGAGAGGAGGGGGGAGAAATTAGATAAAACCCGGTGCAAAGAAGTCGATCCTCTGATATTCCTGCTTTAACAAAATATTATTACACATTCGTTGGGTACACAGTCTTACAGAGGAGAGGAGCACACATATAGTCCGGGTTTCGCTGCCACAATAGGAGCGTGCTCAGAACACGAGCATCATAAATTGTGAATTTGGAAAGCATTGCAGAAGCCGTTCCTATTACAACAACATTCATTCATTCGTTGCCCTGCTCTGCCATTATATGTCATATTGGTCTCGCAGTATTTCCCTCCATTCTGTTCTATCCTCTGCAATCAGTTCATACAATGGATCGAATCTAGCCCAGCAACCCAGATCTCTCTCATCAATGTGTTCGCTTTAGAGTTTCTTTTGGGCGTCCTCGCCTCCTCAGCCCGCCCATTTTTAATTTCAATGCCTGTCTAGGGATTCTCTGTTGGCTTCTGCTCAGTTTGTGACCAATATAGCGCCATCGTCTCTGTCTTATAACTGTGGATACTAGTACAACACCATGACACTTGCGTTAACTTCAAGCGATTATTTCATTACTGAATCTGCCATCTTGTTAGTAGATTACGTCTTCTTCATTGAAGTTACACTCACTATTGTACAAGATGGCGGCCGTCTTAATGGAGCGGGCCATCAGCCTGAAGCTAACAAATAAAGAAAATGCTACAGAAATTCTGTCTACCATTGGTTAGTAAATGTTTTATTTTTAAATAGTAGTGTTATTTACAGAAGAACAACATACATATACAAGTGTTGTGTTGTAATTCAAGAAGAACAAATTATTATAAAAATCGTGCCGGCAGCAGAACGTCAAAATAGCTTTGTCACGAATATTGAAAGCTAAAGTTAGCTTTGCTTTTTTTTTTGTAAATGACAGTACAGTTGCTAGGAATGTTTACCCAATTACTGCATCACAAGATTTGCTAAATTATAAGATATATAGTTATAGCTGGTTATCAATGTTTTAAAGTACCGTTCCTGTAGTGTGGCTTGTAAAGTGAGTCTCCTTTCTTAAAATAAAAAAATTAAATAAAATTGAAAATAAAATAGAGAAGAAAGAGATCAGATTCATCCATCTTGACGACATCGTAAAAAATGATCAGATTACGGTAATCATTCATTCTGAGTGTCCATGCACTTAATCTTAATAATTATTCAGTTGCCATCACTGAAATATGAATATTAGAATTCATTTACACATTATACAGGCTTCACTTAGGTAACCTAAGAAGTAAAGAAGAGTAAGACTGTTTCTGTAGATGCTAGTGAAGTTTTATATATATATATTGGGTTTTTACTTACCACAATCACAGCTCTCTCTTTCTTTCTTCGTCTGTATCCTTCTTCTGTCTCCCTATTCTTGCTTTCTGTCTGTCTCTCCCCACTTTTTGTTATCTTTATATGTCTGTATCTCTCTGTCAAGTGTTCCTTCTGTATCTCTATCTGCCTGTCTCTCTTCCTTCCTTTATTTTATATGTCCATTTGCCTCTCTCTCCTTCCTTTTGTATTTCACTCCTCTTCCTAGTATATCTTTTTCTCTCCCACTTCCTCTGTGTATCTCTCTATCTGTTTTCCCTTTCTCTCTCTTTCTGTTCACCTGTCGGGGTCTGCCTGTCTCTCTCACCATCTCCCACCTGTTTCTCATTGTCTTTTGCTTCTTTATCTCCCTTCCTCTACATATCTGTATCTACTTGCCTCTGTCTTTCCCTTCCTCTGTATCTGTTTCTACTCTCTCTCTCTCTCTCTCTCTCTCTCCAAGTCTATCCCCTGCTCTCTGTATCTCTATCTTTTTGCCAAGCTTCCTTACTCCCTTTCTGTATCTCTGTGCCTGTTTCTCTCTCCCTCTCTGTATACTATATGTCTTCCAACTGCTTGCCCCTCTTCCTTCCTCTTTGTACCTGTCTGTCTGTCTGATTTTTACTCTCCCTCCTATCCTCTGTGTTCCTCTCTGTTTGTTCTCCTCCACCCTGTACCACTTTCTCTGTTTCTTTCCTTCCCTTCCTCCCTCTACTATCATCTGTACCCCCCTCTGTGTCTTTGTCATCTCTGCCTGCGCTCCCCCCACCCCCCCCCCCAACTCTACTCTCTTCACTCCTCCTCTTTCAACTTTCCTCCCTCTCTTGTTGTCCTTTCTTTTTCATTCCTCCTGTTTCAGTCTCTCTCGGTATCTATCTCTCTCTCTCTCTCTCTGTCTCTCTCTCTCTCTCTCTCTCTCTGTCTCTCTCTCTCTCTCTCTCTCTCTCTCTCTCTCTCTCTCTCTCTCTCTCTCTCTCTCTCTCTTGTATCAGATTTAGAGCAGACATCACTTTTATGATTCTCCTGTTTCACTCTGTCATCTGATATTTTGAGGAAGTTGATTTTATTTATCTTTTTAAACTTTCTACGTACATCTTTGTCTTCTTTCTCTGCCTTTCTTATCAAGTGTTTTATGGATACTATTAAAAAAATTTAAAAAAAAATAAAAATCAAGTTTCTCCTTTTTGTGGCTGCTTTATTACTGCTGAATAAATTAAATTTTGCTTATAGTTTTGGTAACTGCAGCTATCAAAATTTCAGCATTTTGTGTGTGTGTGTGTGTGTGTATTCCATATTATCAGCTCCCAGCACCTTGAGTGGGTACGAGGTACAGTCCTGGGAAGTAAAGGTGACCAGCATTTTTGCCAGTTCTTGTCTCGTAGATATCATAATGTAGACTATGCAGCAAATGATCCACTGCTTTGATGTTTTGTCGTAACCGTATAAAAAGTTACGTTTGATGGATTTTCTAATCTTATATATTGTTTCTAGAGCAGATTTTTGTGAACTCTTAAATCCACTGCCGATCTGCTGGACCTGACACAGATTCATCCTTAAGAGAACACTGGAAAACACGTAAATCACATCGAGAACACTGAAAAATTACACATAAAAATAAGGCATCAGGTGTTGATGGAATATCAGCCGAGGCAATACAGGCTTGTGGAGAAATTGGAGTCACCTGGCTACTCCACATATTTAGGAAAGCATGGAATGAAAGAACTGTACCAATAGACTGGCAAAGAGCCCTTATAGTCCCAATTTGGAAAAGAAAGGCAATAAGCAAGATTGTAACAATTACAGAGGCATCTCCCTTCTAAGCCACGTAGGAAAAATGTTTGTCAAAATTCTGGAACAACGAATTAGATCCGCTGTAGAACCGATCCTGAGCCCATCACAGGTCGGATTTAGGAAAGGAAGAGGGTTTACTGACGCTATTTTTGCTTTAAGACAAGTTAGCGAAAAGACAATAGAACACAGATATCAAATGAACATCGCTTTCATAGATCAAGAAAAAGCTTTCGATAGAGTAAACAGAAATTTATTATGGAAAGTTCTTGAAAACTACGGTATAAATGGAACAATTTTAGATTGTGTTAGGGCTATTTATAGACAAAGTGAAAGCGCCATTAGAACAAGAGCTGGCATCACAGACTGGTTCCAAGTAACATCAGGTGTAAGACAAGGTTGTGTATTATCACCTTTACTTTTCATAATATTTATGGACAATATTAATAAAATAGACATAAACAAACACCAACAGATGTCGATAAACAGGAGGACTTCAATGAGCTGCTCTTTGCCGACGATCAATGCATATTTCACAGTGATAGTAAACAGCTGCAAGACCACATAAACCTACTACACGACAGTTGCTTCAAGCATCATATGAAGATCAATACTGAAAAGACAGAAGTCATGAGCATAAGTAGAGAGCAACAGACCATCGACATAAAGATTCTAGATCACAGCCTAAAACAAGTGCAAGAATTTAAATACTTGGGAAGTATCTTTACATTCAGTAGTAAAATAGACAGAGAGATCGAAGCAAGAATCCAACAAGCCAACAATGTCGCATACCAGCTTGCCCCAATTTTAAAACACCCTGCTGTCCCAGCTGAGATAAAAAGACAAATTATAAATACAATCTTTATACCGGCATTAGGTTTTCAACATCAGACTTGGACATTAACAAAAGAACACGAGAGAAGACTAACCACCTGTGAAATGAGATGTTTGAGAATGGCTGCGAATAAAACCAGAAGAGATCGAGTGAGAAACGATGTGATTACAAGAACTATTGGAACCATACCCATCGTTAAATTTATTGAGAAGCTAAGAATGAAATGGTTTGGTCACCTAATGAGAATGGAACCAACGATGCCAGCATCAAGAGCATACAACATGAAAATCGAAACACCAAGAGGCAGGGGAAGACCAAGAAGAATATGGATTGAAGGAGTCACGGACAACTTGAGACTTCATAACATCACGGCATATGAAGCGACTGAGCGCGCCCTGGCTCGGTTGCCGATCATCTGATAGACTGTGACGCCTAGCGGCACAAGCAGATTTTGACAAAAGAAGAAGTATATAAAGTAAATTGGAGTTTTAGTATCTTGGACACTACCAAGCATTCAGTTTGCTAATTGTAATAATGAAACATTTTTTCTTTTTGCTCCCCTCTGTCACCAAGTCTAGATGTAATATAACTGTATCTGTGTGTGTGTGTGTGTGTAGATCCCACGTGTGCGCATGAATAAAATACTCATATGCATGATACACTCTTAAACGAGGTTAAAAAAAATACCTTGAAAGCCTTGAAAACAGTTGGTGAAATTGGCTACAAGACTGAATGTAGCAGCATATGGTAAATACTAAACCACTAAGAATGTTGATGGTAGAATAACTTTGTCATAGGGTTCCATAAGGGTTCCAGTTGAAAGTATTTATAAATTGGTGTAGTCATGTTTTTTTGTTTTCCCGTTTCCATTCTCAGTGAAACAGGATGTTCAGCAGGCTGATGATGAAGCAATCAAAGTCAAAGAACAAGCAATTCTTGAAGTGGGCAAGCTGTTTGCAGACATGAAGAAAGCAAATGGTAATTTCTAGACTGTTGTTGATAGTCCTCAGTCTTCTTCTTCTTAGCATACACTAGTGGAAAGTTCAGGCTGTTTGTCCACTTCTGGACTTTGGTCTTATTCTAGACCTCGAGTTTTGCATGTACATTCATTTGACAGATCTGGCTGATTTGATTGCAGACTTTTGGTTCCTGACCCCTCAAGCCGATCCACTTATAATTAGTTGCCTCTAATGACATGCTTATTAGTGAGGCACTGGGTCTACCCCCACCACCCACCCCACCCCTTTCCCATTTCCACAGACAGAAAATAGTAATCGGTGTTCTCATCAACCTTTTCATACTTGCGAATCAAAAATATTTACAAACTTCACACATTGGCTTTTGAAATATTTTTTGTTTCAGTCTAGCTCATTGCCCGTTTGGGATGAAAAGTGTATGTTAAAAAACTTGACTGCTGCAACAACAGATTTTGTTTGTTTAAATCACAGTTGATTAATACAGGGTGGGGCGGTGATTTTGGTCACATGCCTGAGGGAAAATTAAGGCCATTGTGGTGTGTATAAGGAGATACTCTGTAACTCACCTCGGGCTCCAGCAGGCAAGCAGTGTGCTGGTTTTATGGATCCTTGTGCATCACTCCTGCCACACATCCTCGCAGTACCTATATTGGCCTGAACCGAGCTGACATTTAATCTCAGAGTTGCTGACCACAAGAGATACAGTGTCCAGAAATCCATTGGCTCTCATCAGAACACCCCCTAGTGCCTGGCTGATATAGTCCATCGAACACATCATTTGGAACATAAGTGAAGCGTTCTGGCCTAATATCCTACTATAACAAACCTTGGTTCAAACATTTGCCGACCGAATGTCCTTCTAAAGTGCTGCTTAAGCTCAGATATCTGGCCATCATGTGTCCCTACAGCATAACTGCAAAGTTTCACATGTCTGACCATCGAATTTCCTGCTGTGTGACAGACAAGGTTCAGAAGTTCGACCATCAAGTGTCCTGCTGTCTAACAGACAAGGCCCAGGTGTTCAACCGTCAACTGCCCTACTGTCTTAAAGAAGGCTTCAAATGCCCATCACTGCTGGTTCCACTTTTTGGAGTGTCAGGACCATAAAGCAAAGCCATGCCTGTTGCATGCTTTTCCTCAACTATTTTTTAAGTGTGCTTATACAACTGTGTTAAAGATGTCTAACATACTGAGGAAGATTTTGCCCATCTGTATAGTCAATGAAGTCTCAGATCTGCTGGCTGCTTTCTGATGATCTATTAAGTGTGCAGCCCATGATGAGTAAGTAGGACGTTCAGTAGATGGATATATGGTTAAGCATTCGTGTGCAGGAAGTGGTAATTCCTTGGGTAAGCCCTGAACCAGAGCATCATAAGTTGGCTCTGCCTTTATGGAAGCCTCCTTGGATGGCAGGAATGCCCTTGTTCTGCCCCTGCCTTTCCCTGAGGGCTGACCAGTCTGCGTGTGGCTCCCTGAACAGGGTCTCTAGGGGCGACATTTGTAGATAAAAAGGACACAAGGCAAAATCATGTACCACAAAACCAACTGGGAAGCTAACCCAGTGAACAAATGCCCAATAAGGCTAGACGTGTCGGCTGAAAGGTGCAAATATCACATATATGCTGTGCAAGGCAGTTCACAATTTATATCACTTTGACGAAGAAAGAGAGGAAGAAAAAGGGCTAACCTCCGAATAACGGGCACATATTATGGCGGCCAAAAATACACCCTAACAGGGCCTCAGTCGCATGTATATTGAGGACTACCGCCACCGCCGAGAGTATCTCCCACGCCGCTATGCGCGGCGCGCAGCGGCGTGGGAGATACTCGTGGCAATGGTCGCCGGAAATCCGCAATTTAAATCACCGGAAGTCCGCAATTTACATGTGAATGAGGCCCTGTTAGAGAGTGTTTTTTTGTGTCCGCCATAATATATGCCCGTTATTCGGAGGATAGACGAAAGGAGTTGTTAAAATAACTATAATTTTGTGTGTTTGTCTTCACGTAAACTAATTCATTATTGAAGATGTGTGTAATAATGTCTTTTTCAGAATTAGCAAGCCTAATCAAATTTGTTCGCCCATTTCTGAACATGGTGAGTAAAGCCAAGGCAGCCAAACTGGTCCGTGCTCTTGTGGATCTGTTTCTTGACATGGAGGCAGGAACTGGCACTGAGGTGGGTACTTTTCTTGTTCTTGTTATCCCTAAGCTACAGTAACAGCTTTACAGACATATGTATTACAGTTTTTCTTTCTTCTTCTTCTGTTTTCACCTTTAAAGGGGTGACTGCCACATTGTGTTGTTTGTGGTTTACAGTTAAGCTGCAGTGTCTTATCTTTTCTGCCCAACACATCATATTTCAGCAAACTGGTAATTAGTCGCCTTTTACAACAGGCATGTTAGCAGACATTTGGTATATTACCTTCCCCCACCCACCCACAAAATGGGGCCCTGAAGTCCATGAAGGGAGGAAAGGATAAATGATATGGTAGACAAATGAAGCCCATTTAGAAATTCCCTTGATTAGCCACATTATGACAAGACAATAATTATTTGGCGGGGAAGGGGGGGGGGGGGGGGTCATGTAATGATATGAGGGTTGTTTGGATGATTTCTAGAGTCAGAAAATTTAAATCTTATTAGAGAAATCTACAGAAGAAAAAGATGGCTACTAGGGTGACATAGTGACATTAAAAAACCAGTTAGTTGTAGAATTAAAAAGTTTGTTGGGTACATGATTACCATGGTTACTCCCATTGCACGTGGTGATGATTGTTTTTTGTTTCAGGTGGAGCTGTGTAAAGAATGTATACAGTGGGCAAAGGATGAGCGGAGAACTTTTTTACGACAGGCTTTGGAAGTATGATTGCATATTTTATAATCATCATTTCTATTAATTATTTAGAGTATATATCATTTACATTTTTTTAAAGATATGTTTGTCACTTCTGTTATTGCAGATTTATCACTTTCACCTTTATGGCAGATCTGTTATTAATACTTTAACCTTTATGGCAAAACTGATTACTTTGATTTTTATAGCAGAACTGTAAACTTTCGCCCTAATGGCAAACTTCAATACTTTCACCTTATAGCACCCTTATTTTCTTTATGGAGGGGGGGGGGGGGGGGCGCGCAGATCTTAACACCTCACCCTCATGGTGAAACTTAATATTTTACCATTATGGCAGAAAATATAACTAACCTTAATGCAGAATTTGTGTCTTCACCTTTATGGCAGAATTTATCACTTTCACCTTTATGGCAGAATGTGTCTCTTTCGCTTTTATGGCAGAATGTGTCTCTTCGCCTTTATGGCAGAATGTGTCTCTTCGCCTTTATGGCAGAATTTATCACTTCCACCTTTATAGTAGAATTCATCACTTTCACCTTTGTGGAAGAATTTATCACTTTCACCTTTGTGGAAGAATTTATAACTTTTCACCTTTGTGGAAGGATTTATGACTTTCACCTTTGTGGAAGAATTTATCACTTTCACCTTTGTGGAAAGATTTATCACTTTCACCTTTGTCACAGAATATGTTCCCTCCACATTTATGTCAGAATTATGACTTTCACATTTATGACCAAATATATCACCTCCGCCTTTATGGCTGAAGATGTCACTTTGGCCATTGTGCCAGAATTTAACACTTTCACCTTTATGGCAGAACTCAATATTTTCACCTTTCGGGTAATAACTTAACACTTTCAGCTTTAGAATGGTAAGCATTGAAAAATCATAAGTGCATTGCTTTTTACCCAGCCTTAGACTTCAGTCATCACAATGCACCAAAGCAACTGAGCACACCTTGAGCTCGGATACTTATCTTCTGTTAAACTGTGATGCTCAGCAGCACAGAGCACTTTATAAAATAACAGATGTGGTATTTGATTGAATATATGACAGTTTTCTCATATTTAGAAGTTGTTTGCATATCATTTTAAGCTAGGTGGACCTTTTTTTAAAATAATCTTCCTTGATGTGGAGGTGAACTTGTGACTTTTGGCTTGGCAGGCGAGTGCTTAGCCATTGTGCAGCTGCAGCTTATGATGTGTTCTTCTGCAGAGTTGATCAGAGTTCCCATTGAAGTGACACTGACCTATAAATTGTTTAGAACTATAATGGTTATGGCACTTGCCTGTCAAGACATTGCACCAGGTTCTCCTTTAGTTTAGCATTCACCGGCCATAAACTCCGGTGGAAAGTTCTAGTTGTTCGTCCACGTTGGTCTTGTTACAGAAATTAAATTCTGCATGCACATCCATTTTAAAGATTTGGCTTATTCGTATGCAGATTGTTGGTTCCTCGTGTCGCATTCAAAAGGAACCCGACTTCTAGACTTGGGGGGTCTCTCTTTTATCCTTTCTCCTCTCTCTTCTCCTCCCCCCCCCCCCCCCCCCCCCCCCCCCCCATTGGCACCTTGGAACCCATACAGGAAAGGTAGTGATATTATTGTAAACACAATAATAACTATTTGATTTATTCAAGTTTAATTTTTTTCTCCAGGCACGGTTGATATCGTTATACTTTGACACCAAACGATATCAGGAAGCACTGCAGTTAGGTAGGCAGATTATTTTTCTGTTAACTCTTTACCAGTCAAAGCAATGTTTCCCCATTGTAAACTTGAACAGAGAAGACACAAAGAATAGATTGCACAATTTATTGCCTGGCATATTTCGCTGTATCTCATCAGGTGCATACTACAGTAACTATTACATAAATGAGGCAAATAATTTATAAAAGATTCACTTATTTGCTTCATTTATGTAATTGTTACTGTAGTATGCACCTGACAAGATACAGCAAAATATGCCAGGCAATAAGTTGTGCAATCTATTCTTCTTCTGCTTGTTCGCGTTCACCAGCTTTAAACTCTGGCAGAAAGTTCTTGTTTGTCCATCTCTAAACTTTAGTCTTGTTCCAGAACCTAAGTGTTCGTGCACATCTGTTTTACAGATCTGACATTTGAATGCAGATTCTTGGTTCACTGCCTCTCAGACAGATACTCTCTGACTTCAAAGGAAGCATCAAGTTAGTCGACTGCTTTCACATGCTTTTTGGGAAGGCAGTGGGTCTGTTCTTGGATTATAAGCTGAGAAACTATTACAAATCCCAACTTATACGCTTATTTAGCAAGCTTTCTACATTTAACTCACCTGTATTATTTTGTGGTGCCAGGTTGTCGCTTAAGTATGTCTGTTTTTAAAAGTTTCATTTTTAGTGTGGCAGGTGACTGATTCATTGCTGTTTTGTCTAGTTTATTATAGAAAATGAGTGTAAGGAAATTAGTTTGTGATTGCTGTTTAAAAGAGTAACTGTATTTATATTACACAACATGAGTAAGGAAAAAAAATAATTAAACTGTAGTTCATCATTTTAAAATACCTAAATAAAGTACTGGAAATTGACATAATATTTATGAGAAATCTGGTGCTTATTTCATTAAAAAATACATAAGTTAATTCTGGCTTTAGCATGTTTTTTAGTTTGTGTTTACTTGATTAATATGCGCCAACCTATTTACCCTCGACAGTGCCGGTCAGAATTGTCTCTTTTATGTTCTACTTCCTGTTTTCTAATTCCAGTCAGTTCTTTCACTTACTTATTTAAAAATCCACTCATCTCAAATTGTTTTCTGAATTAATCTCATTCAACATTTTCTACAATGTTAAATTTTATGGCTTTGTGTGTGTGGTCAGTCTATGTATTGATGATTTCTCTTCTTCATCAGCAAAATTTTTGAAGCCTCGCTTTTCTTACACTTTGTTCATAATCCATGTTTCTGCAGTGTTCAGTAATGATGAAAAAATAAATGTAACACATAATGACTGCTAGTGTTAAACCTTTTGCCCAGGGAAGCAGCTTAACCAGCATTTCTGTACTGACATGTTTATGATACACCTAGTTAATGCCATTGGCTGTGTTTGCAACTGCACAGCTTTTAGAAGGTCAGGGTATGAATATATTTACTTAAAATAGCATTTTGAAAGGCTATCTTATGGATTTTTGAAGTGCCCTGTTGATGTCAAATTGTCCGCATACCTCAGCGATTGAGGTCATAGGGTTACAACATGAATCACCTGATACATATTCTTTTAGGCATCCGGAAAAAGTATTCCATTTAATTCTTCACTGTGTTCGTATTTATTGATTACTCCCTCAATATATATGTATATATCTTGGATTTTTGTTGCTTAAATGTAGATATGTAAAAATATTTTTAAAAGTTTTTTTTTTGCAGGAATTGCTACAGGTTAATAATAATCTTTTTTAAGTGTTTTTGTGCAGAAGGGTTAATATATATATAAATAACTTTTACATGTATTTTTTTAAATCTAAATTTATTATCTAAAAAAATATGCACCTGTTTTGTTTTTCTGAACCTACTAGTCCTAACCTCTTGTATTTGATATTCAATCTGAGTGTTGAACTTGGCTTTTTAATTTTAGGGTCATCATTATTAAAGGAGCTGAAGAAGCTTGATGACAAAGCTTTACTAGTTGAGGTACAGCTTCTAGAGAGCAAGGTGTATCACGCATTAAGTAATTTACCCAAAGCCAGGTCAGTTGCTGTGTAAATCTTTACTTAATAAACCATGTCTACATATTTACAGTTGTTTTTTTTACAGTGCTTATTATTGTCCTAGGTGTTTGGAAAGTAATGTAGATTAGGAAAGCTGATCCTGCATCTTCTGCAGCTTGCTTTGTTCCAAAAGTATTGGTGTTACCTTTCCTTTGGAGTAAACAAGGCAGGTCGAGATAGGGATCATGATGCATAGGCAACATATGGTGTCTATAATACTGCCCAGGCTTTGTGCTATAGAGAGGAGGAACTGCAGTTCCATGGCTTCTCACAGCACAGTATAACACTGTCATTTGGGAAGACGGAAAGGCACTAACAAGCAGACGATATTGTTAACTCTGTAGCCACTTCAGTTTCCCAAGAAGGGGTTTATTTTTATTTTTAAAGAAGGGGGCGGGGTTTTTCACATTTTAAGATGTATTGGGTATAGCGGTGCCACCATTCTGTAGATCAGTAAGTGCTGATGAGTAATGTGGACAGTATCCTGCTTACCACCTTTACTTCCCCCCAAAACTGCCCGGTACCAATTTTAGACTTGGTCAGCCTGTGTGCTAAAGAGTCGGTATTTTTAAAAATCTCTGCCTTTTTGGGGATTCGAACAGGCAAGCATTCTACCCACTACACCACCGCGTCTCTCAAAATAAGTTTATATTCTGTCATAACAGTACATTTATAGTGGAGAGAGATTTTCTATGGGGAATAAGTAGATGTTGTTGAGGTTGGCTTGTGCTACTGTGTAAAGATGGGTGCAAGCGGGACATGAATGATACAGGAATTGGGGTGGATTTGTGGTAACAGGATGTTATGAACCGTTTTGCCTGGAGGTGGAGAATCAGGAAGGGAATAAGGGTGCAGGAGAACATTATTGCAGGTTGGTCGAGCTGAGCATCAGAGAAGCAGGTTAAATACATGCTTGGGCAACAGTAGTCCTGAAATTCCATGACATTCTAATTGTTTGTTGTTGTTGTTATTGTTATCGATCCAGCGGCGCATGAGCTTTCGCTCTTTGGCCCAATGCCATGTAGTGGAATTTGCATGTTTTCGCAAGCTGTTCTTTTCCTCTGTACAAGGTGTTCCACTTGTCTGCTCTCAGAGGGAGTAGCATTCTTCTAGTCTCGCTGAGTTCAAAGAGAGGGTGTTCCAGTTTCGTAGGGGTAGTTACAAAGCTCGCTTTCTGGGGAGTGTTGTGGCTGTATTCTGTTTAGGTGTCCACTGAGTGGGGTATGTTGCGTTCTAAGTCTGAAGATGGTGGCCTGGTCCCTTCTTGTTAGATGGTTAATGCTGTCATTAGGATCAAAATTGTTAAAAATAAGACCTTTGTTAAAATGGGCAGGTCTTGCTAGTCACGCGCTCTATAGCACAGCACAGTTATTACACTGTCGTCTGGAAATGTGGAAATATGCCAGCACAGATAGCAGAGAGCTGATGTTCATACAAATTTTAATCTGCCGTGATTTTTTTTAGATCTGAAATCTGAAAGAAAACACTAAAGACTGTTTTCTATGGCATAGTGGGCTGTACAGTCATTTACCAATATTAGTCTGGTCATAGGTGTACAAACACAGAAAAGAGAGAGAGAGAAAGAAATACACGGTATGCTTAAATATTGTCAGCATATTGTACAGGTAGTTTTACCTTTCTAAGATAAATCTCAGGTACTGTTTTTTTTAATGTAGCTGAGCCAAAAGAATGCCCTGCTGGTTAGTATCAAAAATGTTTCTCTGCAATCGGCATTAAACCTGGACCATACTTTTGTAAGCAAAGGTACTTACTATACACCTGGTTTAACTGCAGGTTAAATAATATGCAACTTGTCATTATAGGGTGAATGAACTCAGGACCACTGAGCTATTTTTGGACTAGTCCAGTAACCACGACTACCATGAGTTAATTCAGAGCCTATGCTTCACTGGAAGATAAAAGGCAGTAGAAGCAGCACATGGTGTTTTTATTATAACATCTTTTTGTTTTTCATTGCTTCTTTTAGAGCAGCCCTGACCTCAGGAAGAACCACAGCAAATGGCATATATTGTCCTCCAAAACTGCAGGCGGCATTGGATCAGCAGTCAGGTAATTGCTAGTGAATAAATGTTGAATTAAGAGTTGACATCACAGCACTCGGAACACTCCCACAAGCGCTCCTTCCCCATCTTCAGCAGTGAGCAGAGAGTTCCAATTCCGATGGTACTAGTAACTATCCATATATTCGTCTCGCCCTTCCCTTGAGTGTTGAGCGGCGACTAGATTCCCTGATAACACCCCGTAGTGCCATTCTCCTCAGACCATATTGATCTGTTTGTGTATCCGCACTGTTCACTCGCTCCTAAAGGGCTCTCACAACTTCTAGCTTGTCACACACCATTTCACTACCAAGTGGTGCAGAACCTGTCAGTGAATATAACCAGAGCAACGTCTGTGCATTAAAATGTCCATAAGGGAAGCAATCTATCGTAACACTTCAACTTTCCATGTATAAAAGGTGGGCTATCCGAATAACGGTTGTTATCGAGGGGAAAATATACCCTAACAGGGCCTCAGCCGCGTGTCAATTGCGCACTTCCGGCGTCTTAAAATGCGCGCTTCTGGTGACTCCACCATCGCGTTGCGAACTTTCGGCAACTTCCGCCACCGCCGAGAGTGTCCCCCGCGCCGCGTGGATTGGGGCTAAACTAGATGGCTAGGACTCACGAGCAGCAGCTACCGCATCTCCTGCAGCTTCCTTCATTTTATTTGCTCGTGAGTCCTAGCCATCTAGTTTTTAGCCCCAATCTACGTTGTGTGAGTGGCGTGGGAGACACACTCAGCGGTGGCAGAAGTTGCCGAAAGTGCGCAATTGACACGTGACTGTTAGGGTATATTTTCCGCCTGGATAATTTACGGCCGTTATTCGGAGGATAGCCAAAAGGTGAATAAGAATTGGGTGGCACTGGATCTTTCCCCCCTTCCTATAGAAAACTGTCTTGCTCTAAAATTCAACCAGCTGTCAGTCAGTTTGAAGGAAGCGATAGTAGTGTTGTAACTTACTGTGTGTGCTTTGTTGTAAGAGGTGTGACTAAGAAGAATTGAATAGGGCTGGTTACACAGAGAAGACACGCTGTAAAAGTCAACCGGCATGAATAAGTTTAGATGTAAATGCATCATACCTGCTTACAGCAAACATGGGTTAGCTATCTTAAGATTTCAGAGACCAGTATTGAAAGATGATAGATTTAAATGTACAACGACTTGCATTCTGTTTGGCTAAAAATAAAATTCCTTGCGTATTCTGGGGCCCATTTTTAAGTAAGGGAGGTTGGGGGGGATGGGGAGAATAAACGAACTGCCTGCTAACAAGCATGTCATAAGAGGCGACTGGGACTAATTAGGATGTTGCTGAAATCAGATTTGTCAGGCTGAAAGATGTTGATATCACAGCGCAGCTGTAAACCACAAAACTATGTCAGTCACCCCTTTCAAGGGGGAGTGGAGAGGATAAGAAAGTAAAATGTTTGTGTTTGTTCAGTCCTCTGTTCAACTTCGAGTGGTCATTGTTTGCTAATATTATTATTTGTTGTTGCTACAGGTATTCTTCATGCTGCAGACGAGAGAGACTTTAAAACAGCCTTCTCATATTTTTATGAGGCATTTGAAGGATATGATTCCATAGACAGTCCAAAGGCTGTTATTTCACTCAAGTACATGTTGTTGTGTAAAATCATGCTCAACCTGTAAGTTGTATTGTTATTGCCATTGTTCACTTAGGGTTACAGAGCTTCTTGCATGTTTCTCTTGTTTGTGATAGCCTACAATCATGAGTGTCTAGGGTTTGATCCTTTAAGACAACGGTTCTCAACCTGCCTGTCTGGACCCTTTTTTAGGGTCGAATGACCCTTTTACAGAGGTCGCCTAAGACCATCGGAAAACACATATTTGTTGAAGTTATTAGGGCAAATAGTTGTTTGAGGGGTCGCCACAGTATGAGGGAACTGTATTTAAGGGTCACAGCATTAGGATGGTTGAGAGCCACTGATTTAAGAGAACCCTCTCTGGCTTTGATCTGGCAGATCAGTAGCCCTTCTCTCTCACACTCATTTTGTCTGGCCCTCTCTTTCTCTGTGCTCCCAACTTCTCTCTGTGTCTGTCTGTCTCTCTCTCTCACACACACACACAGGGTGAATGTAAAAAAGGAGAATATGTCAGAATAAAGGTAAAAGGTACTTACCCACTACATCAGCGATGTGGAATCTTCTTGTTATTTCCCTACTAAGAGCTAGTTTGATATTCACAACATTCACTGTCAATTTGTTATTGTCAACTGAAAAATATAGATTGCTGGGTTGCTAAAGTTATGATACTTGGGCAGTAGATGCCAGGATCACATGCATACAACAAATGCATGTTGATAATAACCACTCAAGTAACAGCTAGCAGTTCTACACTTCATCTGACTCAGGGAGACTGAGCATGTTTGTGTCTGTCCTGAGTGATAAGATATTTATTCTGGGTGATCTTAATAGCATATTTATTTATTTATTAGATTCATTGTCCTCCAGGTTGAAGTATGGGGCTAATACCTTTCCCTTTGTAAATCCCTATTATGTCATAAGACACATCTAAGTCTCTGATTCGACAGAAGAGTTAAAATGGGGATAGATCGTAGGGTGAGGAGCTGTTGACTGATGGCTGAGAACGCTTTTGTGCGGGAGATCCATTTCGATTCCCCTGTAAGGTCATGGATGTTTTCTGTAGGGGGGCAAAAATAAAATCCTTACGTCAACCTACACAGCCTGTGGCAACAGCACTGACTACGCAACCCTAAATCCTCAAGCTCAGAGACACCCCTTCCCAAGTCCACACTGCAAAAATGGTAAATAAGGCAGTAGTTAGCAGTTTTTTGGGCAGACCAGGATGATAGTGGAGAGATAGTAAGCAGGCAGACCTGAAAACACTAGGAGTCACCACATGGAAAAGGTTCAATGACAGGGGTGAGATACAGTGGTTGAAATCTGCAGTAGTGAACCTCAAGAACTCAGAATGCTGAGCAAGAAGAAGCAGAAGAAGATGTACTAAAGTGATTAACATTTCAACTTCGATCTGCCCTGGAGAGACTGAACATGTTTGAGTCTGTCTTAGATGTCTAAGATAATTATTCTAGACAGTCAGCTGAATTGCAATACAAAGCATATATTACAAAAATATATTTACTTATTGGATTAATTGAATCTGACCTATTGTTACAGTTCTGATGATGTGCAGGCGATTGTTAGTGGCAAGCTAGCCCTCAAATACAGCGGGCCTGAAGTAGAAGCCATGAAAAGCATTGCCCAGGCCAGTCACAAACGATCTCTTGCAGATTTCCAAAAGGTGAATCTCTATACATTAATCTTTCTGTTCATTTATTATTGAAAGACATAGCTCCCTGTGTGGGTACCAGGGCTGCAACAAGCATTTGGTAAAAACTAACTAATGGGTTTACAGAAATCTGATGTGCTGGGCTGAAAGGCACAGATATTGCATCCTAGCTGTAAGCCACAACAGACTGCCAACCACCTTTCTAAGGGTGTATTTTGGAGGAAAAAAAGAAGACAGTATACGTTTTCTTCCCAGCATATTGAAGATAGTGCAATAACCTACAAAAGTTTAGATCCCAGGAGAGACAGTAATGTCTTTTCCAATCCTGCACCACTGTGGCACTTGTCCAAGTTTGGTGGCCTCCACAGCGAAGTGATCTAGCCATTTGCCTTGTGTTCTGAAGGTCATGGGTTCATTTTTATGGAGATTCCTGGGGATCATTTTTGGAGCTACAGAGTCTGTGCTCTGTGTGACTCTCTAGGCTGGTGGCTAGCCATTCTGTGGAGAAAGACTAGACCATATGGGTTAAACCCAGTTCAGTGTAGTTAAATCCTTTTTTACTTTAACTTAACTTATTCAGCCATATCAAAAATGGATGGCAGACAAGGTTTCAGAGTTCTGTGAGAATTGTCTGTGAAATAAAAGCAGCAAAGGAAATTGACTACCCTACCTCAAATGTCTTGGCCTAGAATATGTGAAAGAACACTTTACATCCAAGTGGCAGTAATACATCTCACCTATTTACAAACCACAGCTTGTTAACTTCCTTTACTTATGTAAAAACCTCAGCTTGTTAACTTACTTGGGTATAATTGATTTGTGTATAAACCTTAGCTTGTTAACTTCCCGAGGTGTAAAACTTCCAGATATTGCATACCAACCACAGATTGTTAACTCCATCTTGTGTGATACTTTCAGACTTTGGTTGCGTACAAACCTCAGTTGGAAGATGATCCCGTCGTGGAGGCTCATCTCAAGACATTGTATGACAACCTGTTGGAGCAGAACCTGTGTCGTATCATTGAACCATATTCTAAAGTTCAAGTTCAGCATGTGGCAAGTCTCATCAAACAGCCAGTTGTAAGTGTCTGCATGTTTGATTTCTCCATCTTCTCAGCATATTCTTAGGTTAAGTTTAAAGTCAAGAGGATCGACTTCATTGACCTGAGTTATCCCATATGGCTTGGTCTTTCTCTGCAGTAGAGTTAGTCGCCTGTCGACCAAGAGCGGCACACAAAGCACGAACTATGTAGCTCCAGAGATCCTCATAAAAATGGCGCTCAGGAACTGAATCTGTGCAGTTAAACCATGACCTTCAGAGTACGAAGCTACAGCCTGACCACTTTGCCATGGAGACAACCAGAGAGCATATTCTTCATCTCAGATCAGATTCATCATCACCATTGTCCTGTTGTGTCATTATATCTCATACAGAGATCAGTCTTTTACCCCATTCCATTCTTCTTTTCTCTACTCCTGGAATGCGTTAGGGCAGGAAGAGATCTCTAGAAGGGCCCTTCTGTTCGCTTCGTAGAAAGTACTTTACATTGTCGCTATTTCTGTCCATGTTTTGCGTGGTCGGCCTCAGGCTCTGTTATCGCTGTATCCGTATAACATTGCTGTCTCTGGTTCCCTATCTGATGCCAGTCTTGTTACATGCCCAAACCGTTTGATTTGTTGTTTCCTATGAAACTCATTTTCTGGCTCTTTGCCGACTCATCTGATATCACTGTTCCTAAGTTATCTTCCCTCGCTACACCTAACATAGCACGTAAACATTTCATTTCTGGCATGAATGTTTTCCCTCTGTCTTCTGAAGACAGTATCAATGTTTGACATTGTTAGCATAACATTTGTAAGAGTATTGTGTTGAACAGTGTTCCTTTAGTGTTCATATTCAAGTGCTTGTGTTTCTTCTTCTTCATCTTCTTCACATTCACCGGGTGTGAACTCCAGCGGAAAGTTCTGGTTGTTCGTCCACTTCTGAACTGCAGTCCTGTTCCAGAAGCTGAGTGTTGCGTGTGCTTCCGTTTGACAGATCTGTATGCAGACTGTTGGTTCCTTGCCTCTTGGGCAGATGCACTCCGACTTCGAAGGAAGCTCCCAATTAGTCGACTCTTACGACATGCTTTTGGGTAGGCAGTGGGTGTATTCTTGTTTTTCCCATAGTAGGGCCCCGGAACCCACACGGGGGGGCTTGCGTTTCAAAAGTGGTGCTATTTGGCCTAAAAATTGATTGGCATTATTTCACCTTTGCAGGATTTCTTTATTAATTCTTCTATCTTCTGAAAAAATGATCTCCAGAATGTAAAATCCTTCACTGCTTTAACTGATGTTCATCAATTTTTATATTAGGAGTTCTTTCTTTTCTGGAGAATGTCATCACTTCTATTTTGTCTGCTTTGATCTTCATGTAATAGTCGTTGCCTTTTGAGTGGAGTCTGTTATTATTCTCTTGTAGTTGTACTGCTGTTTACGCTATGATTGCATTCCGTTCTGTCCTGTGGAATCCTTTTGATTTAATGGATGGGAATTTATTCCATGACACCCGTGGCTTCTCATCAACATCAGATATTTTTCACTTCCTCTTGTACAGCTTTGGGTGTCGATTGAGATATAAGGTTCTGCTTTTCGCTCTTTTGGCCGTCTTTACCAAAGACACGTCGTGCTGTTGTAGAGTTTCTCTGATGTTATCCTGCTTTCTTGTTGTTTGTCTACCTTGTGCTCTGTGTCCTTCTTCTCTTTTGATGTATACCTTGTATAGTATGAGTCGCAAGGCATTCTCTCTTAAGTGGGCAAACCATTTGATCTGCTGTCTTTACATGTAATATAGAAGTGGTTCTGTGCTGACTTCAGATCAGGCTTCATTTATTGTTATTGTATATCTATACAAAGCATGGGCAAGTGTTGACCAGCCTGTAATTGGACATGAGTCTTTAGAGTCACCTTGGGCGTGACAAACAGGCAAGGAGTTGGCAAGAGCCAAGAGTCTTTTGGGCTGATTTTTCTCTTGCAGCAGCAACAAAATATGCTACTGGAAGTGTCACGATTGTTTGTCAGAAAAGTAGTTATCTTATATATATAAATATCTGATAAATTAGAGAAGACAACAGAGAGCAAGTGTGAGAGTTTAGCTGAAATAGTGTGCATTCAGTTGGGAATACACAGGGTAGATTATCTGATTGGGTAATCAAACAGATGCAAATACTAATAGAATCAAATGCAAAAAAGAGGCAGACCTGGGACCCATAGAGTATAGGAGTTATGCAACAACCACTGGGAATGAACATTATTGTGACATGGTAGTTGATATAGCAATGATAGATTCATCCCAAAACAGAGAGTTTGAGTCACAGACAAGAAATATTCATTTATATGGTATGCCATTTCTGAATTTTATTAGACAAGATTTCTGTCAGATGAAAGTAGAATTCATTTGCAATTGTTGTCGGGCTGTCGTACAGTTTTCGTTTAAAATTACATTAAAAGTTTAGTTTTTGGCATCTTGTAATTCTTTTTTTTTTAACTGTAGACGACTGTAGAGAAGAAACTTTCACAGATGATACTAGACAAAAAGTTCCATGGTGAGTATATGATCGAATACATACATCATTTTATGGTGGTTTGTTTTTGGTGTGAATTTTTTTTACACAACTGATGATGTAGAAAGGGATGTTGGTTATGAATCCCTTGGAAGACTCTTGGTCTCTATGTTCAAGTGGTTAAGTCATCAGCTTTGTGCTCTGAACGTCATGGGTTCGTATTTAGGCCCACATCGATTGGTTGCTGGTGTGGGTGTGTCAGGGTACCTGAAGGTCATCACTAGAGCTACAGGACTTCATGGTTTGTGCCCCATTCTCAGTGGACAAACAGTCTTTGTGTGTTGAGAGACTGAGACATAGAGGATAGAACCAGGTGTAAAGAAGTTGACCCTTGTGTCTTTAAAAATGCAGTTAATGACCTTTGGAAAACTTAAGTTTTAAACTTTTGATGTTCTTATTCTTATTCTTCTTCACTTTCACTGGCTGTAAACTCCAGCAGAAAGTTCTGGTTGTGCTGCAACTGCCCACGGAGAGGTGCTGGTTCTATGACCTTTATACTGGCCTCATGTTCAGAGGTGATTTTTTAAAAATAGAAGGTATTCATGTCAAGAACCTCTTGTGGGTTCTGGGACCCCATTTATGTGTGTATGTGGGGGGGGGGGGGGGGGATAGACCCACTGCTCCCTAACAAGCATGTCATAAAAGCCGGCTAAATCAGGGGTATTTTATTTAGTGCATCTGCCTGAGGGGCAAAGAACCAGCTATCTGAATACAAATATGCCAGATTTGTCAAACAAGTTTGCACGCAAAATTTGAGTTCTGGAACAATACTTAAGTCTAGAAGTGCGTGAACAACCAGAACATTCTCCCAAAGTTTACAGCCGGTGAACCTGAAGAAGAGAATGTTAACCCAGATCCACATGTTAGTTAGTTAGTTAGTTGGGTTATCCTCATTGCACTCCGGACATGTCCATAGGTGCTCAGATCCTCCCCTCAGTATGAACCCCAACGTCCGATGGCTAATAGTACCAGTTCTCTGTTGATTAACAAGTCTTCTGGCGTGTCTGGTGTGCGTCTCGTTTTTTGCTGTGCCGATCTTAATTCCCAAGTCTGCCATTCTGGCGAGTGATGTGGATCCACTGCCACCAAAGTCCTCTATCCTTCCCATTTCTCTGAGGGCATTAATAATATCAGCCAGATCCACATGTGCCAACATAAAGTGAAAGTAAAGCACCCTTTTCCATACGTTCAGATGTATTGCTCACACAGTGCTTGACCTATATCTTGTAGACCAGTCAGCACTTAATGGGGTGACGTGCCAGCCATCTTGACTTCTCAGGATTTTAAGTGTTACCCACTCAAGGCTGGTCGCCCGGTAGCCAAGGCCATTTTTTGTAGGGGGGAAAATGGCTTTGTTTTTGTTAGAACATACATTTGGATCCGCAGGCGAGAGTCTAGCCGCTGCACCGTGGCAGTTCCGGCTAATATACACAAGCACTTGAAATCATTCTGTTGTGCTGTATTCAAACTTACAGTATATTGTAGTGTATAAGGCGAATATTACAGCTTTAAAAAATCTTTCCAAAACTAGGGGCCAGCACTTTTTTTTTTTTTTTTTTAGTTGCGTATCTTTTGCAGGACACTGCAGAATCAACCCTAGCATTTTTTTGGCTGTTGTGCGTTTTCTAGGCAAATTTACACCCAGTAGTTTGCCTTGGCTTTCTGAATGGTTGGCTTCTCGATACCGCTTTTGAAACCACTGCAAGACCTGCAGCTGGGATTAAACCCGGCACGCCGACATTATGCGGCGCGTTCGCCATGTCTAAGCCACAGACGTCGGCAAGGGTCAACTATGAGCCTCCTGAGTTAAAAATCTCGAGGTCAACTTGTATGCCACTGTTTAAGGTATTTTAAAAAAAGATCTCTCATTTAATTAACATGTGAGTTTGTCCTTCAATGATCAGGTATCCTCGACCAAGGAGCCGGTGTTCTCATTGTGTTTGAAGAGACAGAGTCGGATAAGACATTCGTCATTGCTCTAGAGACAGTTCAACACATGGGCAAGGTGGTGGACGCTCTCTACCAGAAGGCCAAGAAGTTGACATAGTATATAGATTCTTACTTATTTCCTGGCTGGCATTTTATGAGTACAACATGGAACCTCAGTTTAGTATTCTTCACACTTCTTTAGTGTCACATTTGTTAGAATATATGACAGTTTAGTTTCAGAGCAAGAATATTGGAAAAGAAACCCAGTGCTGGCATCATATTCAGTTCTGAATACTTTTGCGTTTGCAGTTCTTCCAGCTTCATCTTCTGCACCTGCCCTTAAGAGGACAGTCAGCATTGTTGTGGTTTACAGCTAGGCTGTAATTTCTTTCTGTACATCCAACACATACAGTTTTGATACACCCCTAATATTTGCCTTTAATGGCATATTTGTTGGGAGGGGGAGTGGGTTTGTTCCCCCCCCCCCCCCCCCCCCCTTTCCCAGTGCTGGACCCCACAACCGGGAATTCTCCCAATTAACATGGTAGCCTTATGTGTGCTTGGGACTTAATTGGAAGCAATAAATTTAATACACATTAAAAAAATATGATAACAATATAACTAGAATATCCTTGCACTGGGAACAACAGGGTCAAAGAAATAAAGGTAGCCTAAAAAAAAATTAACAGAAGAGAATTACAGAGTGAGGTGAATAATGCGGGACATATGACAAAAGAAGTGAACTGGGTGGAGAGATTTTAGGCATTGATTTGATGAGTTGTGTTTCAGGGTCAGATTTATTGAAAATCTTAAAAGTACTTTGGAAATTTATTGAATCAGAAAAAAATCTGTGAGGTGTTTTCCCCCCAAAAAAACTTGGATTTGTTGTTTCAGTTTGGTTGTATTTTTGTCCATTAGTTTAGAGTCGAGATGATCGACTCCATTGCACCGGGTTTATCCCATGTGACTAGTCTCTCTCTGCAGAACGTTAGCCGCCTGCTGAGAGCGCCGCACAGAGCATGAAGTCCGTAGCTCCGGTGGCGACCCCCAGGGACCTCTGTAACGATTGCACTTGTGAACTGAGTAAAGGGTTCAGCTGTTGTTTGGTTTGACTATTCAGATTTGAACATTCAACCTTAACATCTGTCAGAGCAATCAGCGTTTTTAAATGCAGCCAGTTAGTCTTCTAGCCATATTGCAGTCAGCTTCTCTTCCAGGAATATTGTTGAGTTTAAATTTGGTTTTTTTTCACATATGTGTTATGCACTTGCTGACATTCTGCAGGCTGCATATTTTATCTCTGAGAATTGTACCTCATGATGTTTACAGTCATCGCCAGTGTGACCTCTCTACAAACACAAGGGTACAGTATAGCCCAAGTGTTTCTGCATCTCAAATATTCTTCAGCAAACAAAATCTTGGAGATGCAGATAAAACTATTTCCTCACAGGCAATTTTAAGAAGCAGTTAGAACTTTGTAGTCAGTTATCACATTTGTTTTGTCTCTCTCTTTGTGGTTTCATTGGACTCATGTATGTATGAATGCCATTCACATGTATTAAATGCTTTGCATCGTCTTTTTTGTGTGTGTGTGTATTCTTTTTGTTTTAAATGTTGTTTCTGATGGTGGACGAGGTGTGCATATTTAATTATGGAGGGGTAAAAAAGTAATTCCATAGAAGGTAGTGCCATTGGGATGTGAAGTGTCACACATTCTAGACCTAATGCCATAGAAGGTAGTGTCAGTGGGATGTGAAGTGTCACACATTCTAGACCTAATGCCATAGAAGGTAGTGCCATTGGGATGTGAAGTGTCGCACATTCTAGACCTAATGCCATAGAAGGTAGTGTCAGTGGGATGTGAAGTGTCGCACATTCTAGACCTAATGCCATAGAAGGTAGTGCCAGTGGGATGTGAAGTTTCACACATTCTAGCCATAATGCCATAGATGGTAGTGCCAGTGGGATGTGAAGTGTCACACATTCTAGCCATAATGCCATAGAAGGTAGTGCCAGTGGAATGTGAAGTGTCACACATTCTAGACCTAATGCCATAGAAGGTAGTGCCAGTGGGATGTGAAGTGTCACACAATCTAGACCTAATGCCATAGAAGGTAGTGCCAGTGGAATGTGAAGTGTCACACATTCTAGACCTAATGCCATAGAAGGTAGTGCCAGTGGGATGTGAAGTGTCACACATTCTAGCCATATTGCCATAGAAATTAGTGCCGGTGGGATGTGAAGTGTCGCACATTCTAGACCTAATGCCATAGAAGGTAGTGCCAGTGGGATGTGAAGTGTCACACAATCTAGACCTAATGCCATAGAAGGTAGTGCCAGTGGAATGTGAAGTGTCACACATTCTAGACCTAATGCCATAGAAGGTAGTGCCAGTGGGATGTGAAGTGTCACACATTCTAGCCATAATGCCATAGAAATTAGTGCCGGTGGGATGTGAAGTGTCGCACATTCTAGACCTAATGCCATAGAAGGTAGTGCCAGTGGGATGTGAAGTGTCGCACATTCTAGACCTAATGCCATAGAAGGTAGTGCCAGTGGGATGTGAAGTGTCACACAATCTAGACCTAATGCCATAGAAGGTAGTGCCAGTGGGATGTAAAGTGTCACACAATCTAGACCTAATGCCATAGAAGGTAGTGCCAGTGGGATGTGAAGTGTCGCACATTCTAGACCTAATGCCATAGAAGGTAGTGCCGGTGGGATGTAAAGTGTCGCACATTCTAGACTCAATGCCATAGAAGGTAGTGCCGGTGGGATGTAAAGTGTCGCACATTCTAGACCTAATGCCATAGAAGGTAGTGCCAGTGGAATGTGAAGTGTCACACATTCTAGACCTAATGCCATAGAAGGTAGTGCCAGTGGGATGTGAAGTGTCACACATTCTAGACCTAATGCCATAGAAGGTAGTGCCAGTGGGATGTGAAGTGTTGCACATTCTAGACCAGGACCAATCAGCTAAGTTTACTCGGGGGCCAAAATGTTGAAAATGGGGTGTTGTCACTAGCCAGACGCCTGAGCTGCTGTTTAGAAAGATCATTGTTTTGGCATTGATGGGTGTGCCACTTGCTAAGAGTTGGCAGGCTCGATTTGACCTGCGGGTATCCTGTTAAATAGCCCTTTTCTGGACCTTGATGTACGAGATACAGTGGCCAGACAACTTGCAGAAAGATATAAAAATCACCCTTTTTTTGGTTTTTCCTCTAGGATTATTTTCTGTAGGATTTAACATCTCAAGGATGGGAATCAAAGAGGTACAGGTGCCAGACCCCTCCCCTTTCCCTCAGCTGTATGATGCAGGTGTTAGGGCACTTTGCAGTTACAGAGTAACTGGTAGTCCACTATGTATTCAGCTGGTTTTTAAAAAAAACCGCGATTACCTGTATTTATCTCGTTTGCGGTGTGGTTAGAGGGTCTGAGAACTTAGGGTCGCATGGATAGTGCATTGCCTTAGTCTATGGAGGTTTGGATTTTTTTTTCAACAGGAAAAAATTAACAACCATACTGAGGATTCGAACATGGGCTTCCAACATGAGGGCCACAGTTCTTTTTATTCTTTTCCCCATCATAAGGTGCTAAGAATTTGCTCGCGGAATATAACTTGCATAGATGCATCTTCTTCTTCTTCTTAGCATTCACAGCTGTAAATTCCAGTGGAAAGTTCTGTTTGTTTGTCCACTTCTAGACTTTGGTCTTTTTCCAGAATTAAGTTTTGCGTCCACATTGATTTTACAGATCTGGCTTATTTATATGCAAACCTCAGTGTATGATATCCATGTCTGACTTGAGTAGACCACGTTTGATATGTGGTGGAAATAGTAGTGGACTAGAGTAGTGAACCAGCCATTGAACCACAGATAAGTGAAATCCTATGTACTTGGTAAAAATCTTTTCAGAAGTTTTCGCCCAGTCTAATTTCTAACATTTGGAGCTGCCATGGTGAAGCGGATAGGCGCTTACCTGCTTGTCCGAAGTTCTTGTGTTTAAATCCACATCAAGCCAGTTAATTTTATTTTTTCTAAATTGACCTTGTCTTTCAGGTTGACTCAGCCTGGGTAATGGGTACCAGGTAATCTCCTGGGAAGTAAAGGTGGCTGGCATGATGTTGACCACATCATCCACAGAGTGCCGATTAGTCTTCAACGACAACAAATGAGTCTAGCACCATACATCCAGTGTGTCCCTGACATTTAAACAAAAATAAGGGCCTTTTATGTTTGATTCTGATATACCATCACATTTACATCTACACTACCGCCACAGAGTTTGTGTACTGCACTGAGCTTTTTGTATGGTCTGTACAATAAGCTCAGAACAGTACACAAACTTGTAGGGCCTCCAGTCAATATGGATGGTATGCAGGTTTGCTGTTTTTAGTCATAGCAAGTTTTTTTATGTAGACTGGAAGGTTATAGTTTCGTCGCCCAGCTACCGACTTGGGTGCATGGCATGACACTGTGAGCTGTACATTATGTTTATAATGCTTTTAGACTGCACAGTGTGGTTGTGTTGTGAACTGTAGTCATGTAGGCAGCTACTAATCTGTTTTACTGCTGCTTCCATCGATGATGAGCTGCATTTCTGGTGTCAGACTGTCAGCACTTCTGATAGCTGCCTTATATATTTAATGTGTTTATGCTATTGGATTTGCTAAGACTGCAGTCCGTGTCAATTTTTCCCCTAAGGGACAGTGATGGACACGTGTGGTTTTCATTGGCATAGGAACTGAGCAACTATGAGGTGACCCATTTGCTGTGAAGTTGGAACTGCAAACATCTGATTACCTATATGGTTTTTAGGAGGCAACTAGAGCACTTATGTGGATTCAGTGTAAAATGAAAGTGATCTTTTAGTCAGACTGGGAAAACATTACTGCTGATCACTTTACCGCCTGTGGGTTCCAGGGCCCCATTATGGGGAAAACAAAAATGACTCACTGCCTCCCCAATATGCGGCTCGTAGGAGTCAACTTATGAGGCACATTTTTTCTTTTTCACGTTTATCGGCTGCAAACTCTGGCAGAAAGTTCTGATTGTTCACCTCTAGCCCTTCAACTTGTTCCAGAACCTGAGTATTGTATGCAGATTATTGATTCCTTGC